TCAAAATGGCAATAAGTGGTCGAAAAAACTGATGCATATGTGACCTAAATCGGACCATTCTAACTATAATCTTTAATGTAATGCAAAAACAAATGATTTTTTTTTACAAGATCTTATATGTATATTTTATAACTTTTGCCAAGTAGTAATAAACTCAAGAATATTCAGTTAACCCGGTCGATTTATTCATAAGTTACCCCCGTATAACGAGAGAATTTATAGTTTACGATGTCATAAGCAAATGAATGGAAAGTGGCAACATAGTCAAACTGTCAAATTTTCATAGTATTTGTAAACAATGCTTCTTTCATTCGTGACGTCACGACTTTACATTTAGCTGTCAAACGTATTCCAAAGAAAATAACGGCAGAACGCTGTCTTAAACTCTATCTATCATTAATGGGTTTTTATCAATTAATCGATGATGCAAGATCAGAAAATGATTTTTAAAAATGCTGGAAGCACGCATAGCAAATTCATAAATCTTATATTGGGTTAATTAAGGTAACACGAAAAATCCGTGTGGAACGTTAAGGGTAAAAGATTTAAGTTATAAATATACTTTTTATTATTTTTACCACCCCATTTTAAGCAAAACATAGTCGAATAATTACTTAAAATACGGAAGAAGAAAAAGATAATAAAAGATATCGTTATCTGATGGTATAAATGTTGAATTGAACCAAAAAATCTACAATATTTTTGGAAACTCAGCGGTTTATAGGTACCACCAGCGGTTTATAGGTACCACATCATTGCAGAACGCTACAGAGTTGCATTAGTTTGTAAATTGAGTAAATCTCTAAAACAAACCTGAATTGAATATTTTCTGCCATAATTTTAGAATCTAGTATCAAGTAAAAGAGAGTTTAACAGTTTTTTTTTATTTACAAATATATTCATAGCTAAATCTTAATACAAGTTTTGACTAAATGTGAGTTTTGTAACGATGCAGGTTAAAAAATTTGAATTTTACTGAAGGACAGCACAAATTTAGGCACACTTGAGTTAGTAGATGTATATATATATGTACATACGCAGTAAAGGCTTGCACTAAGCAACCAAGTTTACATATACATATGCCTATATTTATAAGTAAGCACGTAAATAATTCCATTTAAAAATGGAAATCATAGCCAGTTGGCGAGGCTACATTAAATTATGCGCGCATGCGCCACACAACTCTATAAGCAAAGTAACTAGGCTTTAAATATAAGCTTATGTACAAAAAAAACCAAAGGCAAAAGTGTCAGCAATAATGCGTACTTCAACCGCACTATGAAAGCATACTAATTTTATTTTTAAAAGCAAACACACAAACATACAAATGCACATACATACATATAATATACAGAGAGTTGCAGGTGAATTCACTTTTAATAGAGGTAAAATATCAAAATGCTGAGCCATTATGACAACTTAATTCTGCATTGACCAAAAGTAATTGCAATATGTTATCAAATACGTTTAACAGCTAAAACACACACACACAAACAAGCAAATTGGCATTTAAATTAGTATGCAAAAAGAAATTAAAAATCAAAACAAAGTGATATGTCTTATTGAGCGCCTGCCATTAGCATTGTGCGCAGCTGAAATGTCACCTAGTCAGACTAGTTGCCATGAAGAAAGTCGAAATGTATTTTCTTTTACGCGTACATTCCAATGAGTACGCTAACAAGCATTGCTAGATGTGTTTGTGTAATAAAAATTCACATTTTTCAATCGCCGCGATTACCGGCCGCTTGACCCGCTTCGACACGCCTATTTAAAGCTTAAGTAGGCAAATATTCGTTACTCGTTTAAAAAAATGTGGAAATTCATAAGCGGCATGCAAATTTCAAATTAACTGTCATTTTCGCCGGCTGTGACTTCGCGCAATGTGTCAACAAGCGTTTGACTGATTGTCATGTTTACTTTGCGTCGCATGCAGCTCGGTTAATTTCTTTTCTTTGTGTGCTTTTTTCCCCATTCCATTTGTTTGTGCTATATGTTTGTTTGTTTACTCGTTGTTTTTTATATTTTTTCTTTACTTGTCTGCCTGTCAATTCTGCGCTTTCGTTATACTCACATCGATAAGTGGGTAGAGTCACATGCACGAGTGTTCATAGTTCTGTTTGTTGTTGCAAATTATTTCTTCTTATTTCTTTGCTATTTATGCCGTTTTATTTGTGCCAAAATTTTCGTGCTTCATTCCACTTTATAAAAATCATTCGGCAAACTTGTTAATTATTTATGTAAATTTTGTTCTTCTACGCAATTTATCATGTTTTTTTTTTTACTCTCGAGTTTATTAATGCCACTGGCCACTGTTAGCGTTCGCTCATTGATCACATGTGCAAATGCGTTCCAACAACAGAATTGAATAGTGGAATAAATTAATAATTTCACATTTGCTTTATATTTTGAGGAAACGTGAAAGAATGCCGGGGCCAAAAGTGAAATTTTGCAGATAGTAATTACTATTTTTTCCAGCAAAGAAATTAGTGCAAGTGATAAAATAATTGAGGGAAGATTGAATGAGAGAATAATTGTTGGTTACTAAAATGGAATACAAAATAATGGCTGGAAAAGCAATAAGGAAGGAAAGGAAGTTTAACTGAACTAAATAAGCAGATAAATTGCAGAGCTAAGGAAAACAAAAACAGGAAAAAACATTAACTTCGATCTGAACAATATGTTTGCAGATTGTAGCGCTGCCTTGCAGCAATCTATGCCGTCTATTCTATCTATTTCGTGAAGACATCTCGTCAAATAAAGAAATATTACATACAAGAACTTGTTTTTAATCGGTCTGTTTATATGACAGCTATAAGCTATAGTGGTACAATATCGGCAGTTCCGACAAGTGAGCAAATTCAGGGTAAAAATATACTAAAATTTAACAGTATGGAACGAAGATAAATGGTTTGAATTGACACAGAAAATATTAAATCGATATTATTATTGTAAAATGGTTTTCTTCGACTTTGCGAGGTATCAAGAGCTTGGTCCAGCTAGTTCCAATCAACCCACCATAGGTACGTATTAAACATTGTAACCGGAATAACTTTAAATTTAATTGAGCCAAGCAGAATTCGCTTAACAAAAGCAAATAAAGATTCTTCCGTACGAGGCCTCATCAGTATTCATTAACATTGAGTGCGCTTATTGACATTCGACAGGCGAGCCACAGGCATCCAGCCAGCCCACCAGGCACTTAATTCATTACCAAAATGGTCAGCGGAGAATGCAATTCCACTGCAATAGAGTAATTAAATACGAATTTGCGGATCGAGTGGAACAACAACATAAAATACGTACATAAAAATCCGTACAAAATAACAAAAAAAAAAAAAAAAATATGTGTGTCCACTTCAAGTGCCAGCCGGCAAATTACGGAAATCAGATAGTCTAGACGAGCTATGCCACATGGAGGAATGATGGCCAGTGAAAACACGGAAGTAAACAACCCCCGAAAGCAGCCAAACGAACACAGCGGTAGGGACAGCGTGCGGATGGTAACACACCGAGACCGGCAGACAGAGAACACAATGAAAAGGTTTGGCCATTTGTGAGCATATGAAAGCGTCAGGCAACGAGATGACCAGCTGTACTGAAACAACGCCAGTTAGGTGGGTTATATGGATGAGTAACGTGATTATTTGTTCAGGGTAGTTTATAACCACAGAGAACGCAGCAGTCGAAAGTGGTGCCCAGCGGGTGTGGTACGCGAAAATCATTGCAATATTTTACAGGAACTAGATAGGTGCAATAAATTAAATAACCACTAAAGAAGTAAAAACTTTAAGGTACCTAAGAAAAAAATTCACTACCTGAGGCGGTTTGGAGTTGAAATTGGACATAAAGAATGGAAAGTTATATGGACGTTAAACGCGAAACGAAACAGCGGATACTTATTAATAGAAACACACGTGTTTTCTGCTCTCATGCAGCAGAAAGAAAGCAAAAAATATGGCTAATCGCGAGTTAATATCGACTGAGACAAGTAAGAACCGTGGCAGAGAGACACTAATGTACACAACTTATGGCTCAGATGGCCAACGAAATTTGCATGAGAGTCGCAGAACCTGTTTGTAGCGACAGATAAGGAAAACTAAAAGCCAATAAAATATTTTTATGAATATGAGTGTAGGTATATAAGTAACGTTGTGCAAAAGAATCACAATTTGAGTCAGCAGAATTATGAAAAAAATAAACAAGTGACTCGAACTAGAACTTTAAGTCCTACCCACGGGCACAAATTATGCCAGCATTGTCATAAGAAACACAAAAAAGAGAGCTGCCAATCGATAACTATTTTTTTGTAATTTTTTTTTTATCAATGTTATTAAAATTAAGATCAATATACATATGATATTTAAATACATGTACATATATATACATATAATATTATATATATATCCCTTTCTACAGGAAATATTATAATGGGTATTTTTTGCAATTCTTTCTCATATAAAAAAATTTATCGAAGTTCACTGCGGCGTACAGGTAAGTGGATACACAGATTGCCACGCACACTTAAGAACAAGTCATGGCATTTAAGGCATTACCTCTGGTTGACGCCATAATGGGTTAATAGCCAATTTGTATGTCTCATATTTTAGTTGGTCTTATTGTGCATCAATAACGTAAATTTTGCTTTAGTTTACGTGTTTAAAGTGGCCGCCTGAATCTGATAAAGACGATAGCATAATATTCCAGGCTTTATAGTATGTTATTTAAGTAACATTGAAGTTCAGACCAATAATATACCTAAGTTTAAGTTGCTCCTTCATTTGATATAAATTCGTCCAAAATATTCCGAAATTTTTTTCTAAACACCATAACTTTATTGCACACCTGTTTACACTAGAGGATTAATTGAAACCTTTGCTCTCATTTTATTCATTTTATTTATTGTTTAAACATTGTTCCATCTATATTCAACAATTTAAAATTTTACAATATAATATTTAAGCCTATATAATTTATCTTGTGTCACTTTTCTAGGTACTCACCCAAAGTTGCGTTCCCCAACTCATCTTGTTGGCGCTTTCTGCTTGTTCGTCCGCCAGTTTTGCGTTTATGTTATTTAAGCCAGACAGTAAATTCACAAAAAAATACCTTTTGTATCCAACAATTTGTTGTTGTTTTTATTTTTGACACTCACTCCGAAACACTACCGATGTAGGTTTACTAGTCCTAAACGTTGTAAAACAAAAATACAGTCTTTTACACAGCTAAAATATGAATATTTACTCCTGTTGCTGCTAGTGGGGTAGAACACAGCCGCCAACAGTAACAGCAGGCGGGTTCAAGAGTTACTTCTAATTCACAAAAATTTCTATATTGAAACAAAAATATTAAAGTAATTTGATTACTAAAGCTATAAAAAAAAATAATGAAACGTTGTATGTCCGTTTGTTTATACGCGCGACGATGAAACGCGAGCAACGTGCAAAGGGCGGCGAGCAGGTAGAACGCGACAACGACGCAATGCAGGTAAGACCGGAAAGAAAATATGTAAAGTAAACTGGTAATAAAGCCGAAACTGAGTTTCAATTCTAGAATTGCTTCACACGCTAACAAATGTGGTGGTGGCGATAGTGGATTTTATGCTTGTTTCTACTGTGCGCTTTGCGGACACCACAACTTCCACTACTGCTCGCGTTGTTATTTACATACATACATATGTATATGCAGCAATATTTCTAGTTGTTTTTGCTTTTCTTGCACTTATAAAGTTACGGTCATTAAATAAAAGTATTCAGAAATAGTTTAGGAAAGCAAGCGTAGTGATAAATATAGTTCACAAAACGTAAGAGCTATAATAACCGAACTAACTCCATTAAACGCGACTCCACTTAAGTAATATGCATAGTATGTACGGTGTAATATGTGTGCATGTAAGAAAGTAAATTTAAAAGCGAACTTGTAGGCTACTTTTCACTTATCTGCCAGGAATATTGGTTTCATAACAATTTTTACACTTTTTCAATATAAATTTAGCACATTACGCGAGAATTTTTCCAAACACTGACGTTTTCTTTAATGAAATCAAACGAAATGGAACGAAATATTGATCAAAAAATTTTCGTGAACTGAAATTTGACTTTTTTTATATATTAAAAAATTTTACGTTGTTTTAGATATTCACAGCATATATGAGTTTTAATTACTTTGCGAGAACACAAATAGGAATTTATAAAAATCAACTATAAGCATGTCACTTAGCCAAACCCTGGAGAATTTGCATATAAAATTCAACACAATATAGCTTTATTATTTAACGAACGTATTCTGCAAATAAACACAGAAATTCTTGGGTTCAGAAAATTTCGCACATTTGCATGGAACTGCAGTCGACAATTCTCCTTTCGTTATTTTTATGTTTTTTGTTGTATTTACTTCTCATTCGTTGATTCCCACAGATTCTTTACTTCACACCACCGTTCGCAGGTGTGCAATTGTATATATGCGTGTGATTCACCCGTCGTCTAAGATTTTTCATGAATTGTACCACGGCTAATATGCTTATCATAATTATTTCCCATCCTCAAAGCCACCGCCCTTATTGGTTGGCACTTGAAACTCACAATTTTTAACAGAAATTTTAGTTAAACACTATAGATTTTCGTATCCAATAAATTTATCCATGGAAATTTTTTTCACCAATCACTTAAAAAAACAACAACAATAACGCGGCGTTGCAAACGATTTGCCGCAGCTAATAACACATTTACCTGCAAATTCACTCGAAAACTGACTCGTTCTTTGCTATCAGGTTTTCGTGAACACTGGCAGTGCCAGTGCGGCCAAAGTGTGAACATAGTAAAGGTTGCATTTTGGGTGTGAATCGGATCTATATTGTGTGTTGCTTATATTTTAAATTATTTCGAGATATGCCAAATTTCTTGAGCAATAACGTCCAATTAGGATCCGGATTTTTTATGTTGTATTATATATCCGAGAACCTTATAAATATATAAATCCTCATTTTATGACGTGCCGACGAGAAAAGGTTTTTGAAAACCCGAATTGATACCTGGGTCCGGCCCAGTCTACAAGAAAAAATTTTGAAAAATATATTTTAAAGAATGATTTCTTCTACAATTATATTAGCCTGCCGAACTAGAATCAACTAAATGGAAAATTGCAAGTATGTGTTTGGTACAAAATCCCATAATCCCTCTTCAAAGGTGCACCATACTCCTTAAAAAGTTATCATAAAGCATTTTGTAGTATAAATACAAAAAAATAATACATACATTAATGAGTTTTTTATTCTTTTTTATTATTTTTACTTAAAATAATTCTTACAATTATCTATCATTTCGTTTCTTCATTCAACGGTTTCCGTAACTTCGTTTGTATCCACACACGATACATTTTCAGCATGCGACCACGATTTACTTGCAATCGTCTATCCACAACACTTTGCTCCTCAATAAACCCAGCTTTGCAGAATAGGTCTCTTACCTCTTCTTGTGTGAAAAAGTATACCATTGTCCCGTCACCGCGCACATACAAATTATCCTCCAAACATTTGCCACTTTTGAAACGTAGCTGTGCCATGTCATAGCGACCGTAGTCACGGAAAAGTACCAAACCACCTGGACGTAAATAACGAAAACAATTGGCGGCAACACGATTCATTTTTGTTGGTTCAATAGCCGAGAGTACAAATATTAGCACAATTATATCCAGTGAATCCTCAGCGAAAGGCACTGACCAATCTTCAACTGTCGCATCCATGACAAAGACTTCGCACCGTTTTGGATCATATTCCTTGTTCTCACGTAAAATTTCGATAGCACGTGCGGAGAAGTCACAGCCATAGACTTTTAAATTCGGCTCCTGACTATACTTCAAAATCGGTAGAATAGTGTTTCCAACTCCACACCCTAATTCAAATATGCTGCGTGTCTCCCGTACATCAGTTCCTGGTGGAGTAGCAAGTTCAGTGAACTCTGTAAAGAGCCAATGTCGATCTTTAAAAAATCGATTCTGATGTACGCTATAAAACGAGTCCCAAAATTGATCGGCATCATTCTGAAACTTCTCCTTGTCTTCGGCATTCATTTTCTGTGTAGAATTCTTAGTCACCGCCGCAAGTGCTTCTTTCTCTTGCTCGGCATCCCATTCAACGTTATCCCTGCAATAATGTGCAACAACTAACATTATTAGTAATTAATATCAGTAATACAATACCAAGCATTAAATTCAAAAGTGTCACGTGGATCTTTCAAAGTTCGCCCGCCAAGTGCTGGTTTCTTGCGGTAACGTGTGTGTTCCCAACTTGAGAGCATACGTAAATTTGCCAATATCCTCGTATATTTACCAAGCATTGTGTTTAAAGACATCATTGTCATCGGTTAGGAAACGGTTTCCAAATTTTGGACGCTTTTCCTCGGCAGTTTCAGTCAGCTCCGCAGGATTTGCCTCATTTCCAAATGCACTCATGTCAAAATATTTAAGATCGTATATTTTCCATATGTTTACTTATACGTTTACAGCTGCTTCTTCCTTAAATGCAGTATTCACTATGGTTAGAGAGTTTAGGTATTCACAATGATCTACACTAAACCTAAATTGATTGCACGCAATATTAAACCATATCATATGCATTCAATTTAATCAAAAATGTTATTATGATTTTCTTTTATAGAATTATATAACACATGGTATATATTTGATGTCTCTAGAATTTTTCGAAGCTGTATAATAAACATGATAATAGTGTTTAATTATGAATTGTTAAAAGCAATATTTGAAAAATCCTGGTAACTCTATAGTAGAAAAGACAGTAACGAAACGGAACTGCCGTTTGTGATTATTCAAATTCTATGTCTGTTTTTGGCGAAAATAATATTTTCAGAACCAAAAAAATTGTAAACGATATATATATATATGTATGGACATCAACGTATGTATGTGTAAATAAATAAAGAGAGTAAGCTGAGCTTTTTTGTTTTCATTTTCTAGTTTTGTGTTTTAAGCGTTCACTTGAAACTACCTGCTGCGTGTAGACCTTGCCCGCCATTTTATCAGTTTAGATAATGCCGCTAAGGTTCATATGCGCGATAAAAGGACAACAAAATCACAGGCTTAGATTAGTCTTGCGTTTGACGCGCGTGGATAAACGTAAATTTAATTTTTTGGAGTTAAAGGTAAGCTTGTGAAAATGATAAACAAGTCTAAATATTTAAGTGAATTGTTTTCGTTTTTCTTTAGCTTTTTAAAACAGCTATGGCCACATCAACAACAATATTAGATCTTAACGATGAATGCTTAACTGCTATATTCGAACAACTAAAGGGAATGAGAGCGAAGCGAAATTTTTCACGCACATGCGATAGATTTGCAAAAATTTATTGTAACCACTATATTCATCAATTAATTGTCGAAGGTTGTGACGAGCATTTTTTCGATAGTCGTTTAGTGACAAAATTTGGCCATTTGATCGGCACTCACCTGTTCCCAATGAAAAATATTAAAAGCATTAAGTTCGACGATACATTTGCGCTGTTTTTCACCGAAAGATTCTTTCGTAAGCTCCGAAGAGATCACCAAACTATAGAAAGCGTGGAGTTGCATGGCTTCGCTGATAAAGACTTACAAAACCTGTTGCCTTTGCTCAAATTGAAGCGTCTACATTTGAACTATAGTCACGTGACAGGTATACTGTTCGTCTTTCTTCATTTATTTATGAAAACATTATCTACATATTGTATTTTGCAGGCAACTACATAGATCAAATGCGTAACTTAGAGGAACTAATTCTGGATAATGTGCACGATTTCGAATCCAGACATTTGGTTAGTATCCTTCAACGGAATAAGCTACGAAAGCTGGTGGCACGCGGCTGTCCATCTGTGTTCGCCAAAAGTGACGCTTTGGAAATGGTACTAAATTTAAATTATTTACAAGAGTTAGAAGCGAACTGGAATGAAATGCGCAGATGTCAGTCAATAGGCGAACTGCCGTGCCTGAAAGTATTAATTGTCAATAAATTTAAAACACTGCAATGTCGCAGATGCCGGAAAATCGAACGTGGGGATGCCATGTTACCCGCCAGCGGCTACTACTATGGCATATGTGAGTGCGGCTTGTATGAGGCTAGAGAGTTATTCAGGGGCTTACGTAAAAAACATATTTTGGAAAAATTACTTTTTCTCGGCTCACGCATAACAACCAGAGATCTTACATTCATATCGAAATTAACCAGCTTAAAGACACTTTACATGGGCGTAGATAATGTGCCGCTCTATGTTTCGATAGCGATGTTTAACGGTTTAAAAGAACTGGAAGAAATAGATATAGGTTATTCGTGGAAATTGCCAATCGAAGCTTTGGACTTTTTGATCAAATGTCCAAAACTGAAATATGTAAATTTTGGCAATTCTCAAGGCTTCCCTGAGGCATTCATTTTGGAGGCAATCGAAGTGATTAAGCGTAGAGAAGTGCGACCCGCCAAACCGGTAAGGTTGCAGTTTATGAATCCGGACTTTAATAAGGAATTCCTCGAGGTGAGTTTATTATCAAATTTTTATTGAAAAAATGTGCTTATCAGTTATTATCTCATTTTAGGATGAACGTGTAAAAGCAGCCAAACCTTTCCTGCACATTGATCATTTTCAGACCGTGGAAATGACAAGACGCCTCTACAATTATATATATTATTTTTGATGGAGTTTTGTGCATGATCGTTAGTAGTTAGAAGTTCGTTAAATTAATTTATATAAGCGTTACATAGTATAGGAACGGATTGTTTCGCAGGAAAATTTTTTTTCTATATAAAATTATTTAATTTATTTATGTGCATAAGTGCATTGTGATTTTGTATGTTTTTTATTTATTATTTTTATATTTTTAATAATTATTTTTATTAAGCTCACTATTTTTAAAATCCTTTCGTAGCATGAAAATAATTTTTGATCTCAATTAAAAATAAAATTTTGAAGCAAGCTTGATATATATATATTTTTAATTCTCACACGTCTCATATATACATACATACATACATATATACTGCCATATGAACCACGGTATGCTTATTCTGCGGCTTCTTTTAATAACTCGTTCATATTTAGCTAAAAATAGGATTCTCGGATGTGATTCTTTGAATACAAATTGTTTTTTTTTTTTCAACTATAAAACGCAATTTCATTCATGAGCGTGTACAACAAACACATGTATGTGTGCGCATTGTATGGCACTCCAAGTCTCCACTGGTCTACGGGAAACTTTTTCAAAAGCGCCTGCGCAAAACGAAAGTCTTTGAAAAGATAAGAAATAGCTTACGTATGCTGTAATAGTAGTTAGCGCTCTCATTCTGACGCACGTAATAAGTGTTCGACCCAACAGGCTCAAGCAAAATTCCAACACATTTCGTTGTTGCGTACTTTCGAACATTCATCATACGAGCGCCGAGGAGCTGTAGCCGAGCTTTGAAAAAATTTTCGCAGTTGGCTAAAAATTACCGTAAGTGAAAAAGTGCTCAACGCATGAAAATTATAGGAAAATTAAATAATTATTACTAATTAAAGTGCAAAGTTAGTGTTAGTGTTGTAAAAAACTAAATAATTTAGTAATAGTTTAAGAAATTTATGCTTTGCTGTGCCAAATTGCGTTTTTGCTTGACTGCCTAGGGTGTCGAAATATTGTAGTGCTGAACCAAGTGTCACAAGTTTGATGATGTGAAAATTTTCATTGATTTTTTTTTGGCCAACGCAAGTTTTGGGCTTTCATGAAATTATGCGCTTAAAATTAAAACTTTAGAGCTAACTGTTGTTTGAGTAGTTAAAATATATTTTCTAAACTTTATACTATACACCTTCATTTCAATTACTTAATTGTGCTGTGTTGGCACGAAACCAGCACATTTTGCTATTTTGCTAAATGCTTAAAAAGAATTTGTCTTGAATATTCTTGAAAATTTATTTCAACTATTTTCTTTATCTCAACACTAAAAAATGCCAACATTGCAGTGTCAAATTTCGCAATTTGAGCTCCAAATAAACTACAACAACTAGCGAAAAAGCACACAAAGGACACAAACGTATACTTTTGGCGAGTCATCGAGTAAAAGGCAGAAGTGCAATAATAACAACAACAACAACATACAGCAATTTCGCATAGTCTCTATTGCTTTCGAACTTCGAATGCATAAAGCTAGTTAATTTCGAAAACAACCCCCGAAAGCCAACTCCAACACATATGGCACGTAATCAAAACAACAACAACTAAAACAACAGCGTAAATTAGCGCCCAGCACCCACACACCCCCTACCGTTGCCTACCGTCTCTGTGAGTGGTGAGTAAGAAACGTCAGTGGCCAGCCACACTGTCACCGTGCTTACACATATTATAGCCAGTTCAACTCAACGTTGTGCATTTTGTTTCTTTTCCATCCTTCCTTGTGACAGAGTCAAAGTTACAGTCGCCGTCAGTGCTAGGGTATCTATATAATTGGCAGAAATTTTGTAGGCAAAAGCGTTTGCGGTCTATCTAGCCTACCTTGCCGCACCCTATCGCCCACTCGCCTAGCACAGCAGCCAACAGCCGAAATTAGTAGCAGCAGCAGCAGCAGCGGTAGCGCCAGCGTCAGCAACTGATATTCCTCAATTTCTCTCAACGCTCAGTGCTTTTAGTCCAGCAGTCGCAGCGCAAAGTATCGAAACAGAGCGAGTAACATGTAAGTAGCTGTCATTATTGATTTTACAATTTCTACTTATTATTTTTATTTTTTGGTGTGCATTTCTGATTTTTTTATTTTAATTATGGCTTTTTTTTTTAATTTTTATTGACATGCATATAGTTTGGGTGATTTTTATTACACGAAATTGTGCAAATGATGATTAATAGAAATTGTTTTGGTGGAAGTGCTGCGTGTGCAAGCGATCAAACAATTCATGGTGCTACAAAAACAAATACAAAATGGTCGACGGCAAACGAGCCTCTCAGGCGTACGCCACCATGACACGCGTAAATATGTAGGCTCTTCCATAAACATATAAACATATATATGTATGTATGTGTGTTCGTACAATGATGTAGGAAAAGCATTCATTTCCGAGCAACTCACGTGAGCCCTGATGACTTTACGATCGAAGCTGGTTCACTTTGCCTTTATTCCTTATATACCTATGTATATACAAGCATTTAATTAATTTTGCGAAAAAACACTAATATTTAGTTTAATACGTGGGGTTGAGTAATTACGAAATAGGGAGTCAAAATAATAAATATGAATTATAAAAATCAAACAGTTATACAACACCGGAAATCAGCTGTTGGTGTTTTCACTCAAAAGTAGGGGTAAAAAATAAATTTAATATAATGAACACATTGTATAAAAATAATATCAGAATTCGATTAGTGACTAACATCAATAAATTATTGAACTCAATTGTCAAAGTCAGATGGTGTAATTACCTTGTAAGCACGCAGCTGACAAGTGTTGTGCCTACTGGAAGAAAGCTGATAAAATAAAAATTATTTCTTCCTTGTCTTATACATACCATCTGATCAAACAAAAAACTGGTAATGAACTACTCCTGAGCCAATACAAGCATGCCAACTTTTGATCCAATTTTCCAAACTTAGCCGCGGCTAGGATGGCCCTCAGCGCCTTTAGCGAATTTTTTTTCGGCATCGGTTCATTTTTAGAGCGCCAAGGTTGTCCAATCTCATCAACAATCAATTGTTTATCGATTTGATTGTTTGATTGATTTAAATAGACCAATCCGAGTTAAATTTTATCAGATGGTATACCTCAGAAAATGAAGGTGCAAAGTACGATAAATAAGGATAACGGATTTTTCCAGATATTTACTATTTATCATATCTAATTTACTAATAATCAAATAATTTATACATATATATTTAGGTATATTTTAAGGTATTGCTATCTCTTTCACAAGCACATACATTTAGAGATAAATAATTTATATAAACATCTGGAGTGGTGATTAGAAGATAATTGCTCCCATGTCACATAAAATATGTTTTATCGTTTTTTTGCGATATTTTGTCACCTTGAAGATATAAATTTTCTATGCTCTAGTACCGAAAACAGATTTCTAAATCTTCATCGAAAAAACAGCTTCAAATAATTACATAAATATTGAGTAGCAATTTTTGACTGTTATCTGTTCTTTTGTTTTATTTGCGTACACTTGCCAAGCATATTTTTTTGTCGGCAACAAAAAGCGAAAGACAACAAACTGAAGACAATATTTATATTTTACCTGTATTTATCTATTTTTTGGTATGGCTTTGTCAATGTTTTTTTTCCAATAGTTACTAGTGATTTCAAGATTTCGTAGGTATAAACCTTACTGCAGTAAACAAAACCCTCAAGTCTCTTTTATTTTGCTACAAAAAAAGAGTCCGCAGAGTAAGACTTACGAATGACACGATAATAAAATACACACACACACACATTAAAAATTCAGGTTATTAGTATTAATTTTTTTTATAAACTAATAAATGAGTTAAAATTTAAATTTATTAAACGATAAAGAGTATACATAAAATATTTGTTTTTGTACTGACAACTTTAATATTTATGAATCCTTTTTGCTTTTTATACCTTCATACATATCTAGAGTTAGATAATATACTGTTCATCTCAGTTTATACCTTTAAAACTACTTCAATACTAGTTCCTTCAAAACAGCTGTTCTGCACTGAATATACGTACATATACTCCAATTACTAAGTGCATATAGTATCCATACATATAACTGTAATCGTTTGCAGTAGCTTCGCGATAGCAGGAAACCAATTGATGAAAATGGCAAGAGACTGCGTTTATTAATTAATAATTACGTGCCACGTTACAGTTGGCCATATTGTGGCGCCCTAATGAGGTTAGCATCGTTGAGGGAGGATAAGTTCGTTTCACTTAACAATTTGTTGGCCCCTTTAATTGTGCTACAGTGGAGAATATTTCCTACTTTTTTTCAATAAATGCCTGCTGATTTGACTCACGTAGGCATATTTTCGCACTACTTGTCCGTAATACTTTCATACTCGCATAAATTCACACGAACTTGGCACCGTGTACAAAAGCTCTATTGATTTTTTACTAAGTGCATAAAGCGAGGAGAGATTTATTAAAAAACATGCAGTAGATATTGTTGCATTGCTCAGTTAAACTAATTATTCAATTTCAATTCATAATTTATATTATTTTTTTTGAGAATTTCTCACATACTCATATTTTTAAATTGAAATAACTTTTCACAGATTACGAAAAGATTCCATGTATTTCTGATTTTAAATTAATATAATAATTAATTTTAAGTACTCGTATATTTAGGTGTAAATTGAGATAAAAAGCTGAACTCGAGATGTTGCCACAATGTCTACCTGTCAAAGTTCATGACAAACCTTTGTTGCGGAAGAACTATTCCGAACTCCTATTTCCTGACATAAACATATGATACAAACTAAAGGCAGTTTGCCGAGAAAGCTTCTTGTGGAGTTTTGTAATATAATTTTTTTTTTAACCTTCGTGCTAAAAAAATGATATTAAGGGGCGCAGCTAGTCTAGCAGCGTACACAAAGTCGATTTTATTTAATAAAAAAAGCCTACTCAATCAATAGCTATAAAATTATTATTAAGTTATTATTAAGTTAATTTTATAAGTTATTATTAAGTTAATTTAACGGTTATATTTATACATATTTTGAGAATACACAATAAAATTTTGAAGGAAAGAAGTAAATATTTTTCGAAATTTGATTTTTGATCAGAGCAAAAACTGATAGGTCACTGTATAGAGAACTATGCATATACAGAAAATGAAGATGAATGCGATGAAATTTGAAGCGATCGGTTAATTTTTCCAAGTAATCACTGCAGCAAATTCGAGGAATGCTGTCTCGAGAAAAACGCGTTCAAAAATAAACTGATGGAGCTCACTGAACTGAATTTTTTAGAAGGCTGTAATTTAAAAACTATTTGAAGCACAGATTGTCAAAAACACCTCTAAAATTATCTTCTAGAAGTCTCCATTTAAAGCTTGTGTCACAGAAAACCGTACAAAGCACTTGCTTACACTCTCTCTCTGCAGCTTCTTATAAGGGTTACTTTCAACTAGAAAAAATCAGTTACCAGTGGAATAACCTTCAACCATAGACAATTTTTATTTTCCAGTTTTGTTTTGTAAAATTTTAATAAATATATTATTTTTCTAACCAAGAATTCACTCAAGAGGTTCATTAAAATTCAGGCTATTTCGGCCGCGGATTCGAATACAAGCTACAGTATAATCAAAAACAATAGAAACACTTTTTATGTGACTACTTTGGGTTTTCCATAAAAAATTTTAATCCAGCGAGTAAATTTTTATCAAGAAAAATCTTCGCCATAAAACCGAACATCAATTTAGAAACAACTTAAAATTTTTATAACATTTACCTTCATTTCTCTGATTTATAGTTTTATGAGGTTATTCACGTAGGAAGAGCGACAGAGTTCTCCCAACTTTAATTGTTTAAAAGTTAAAAATACAATTTTGTGGAAAATACCTATAAGTTTAGGTGACTATATTTTTCACGGCAAAATCCGGGACGGTTTTTTTAGTTATCGATTTTTTCCATATTATAATTCTCTGGAAATCTATATAATAGGTGAGAGAGCAACACATTTTTTTTCAATTCATTATTTTTTTTAAATTTCTAAGTCCGGGAGGGCGAGGATGCTTTACTCGGAATCCGGACTGTCAGCTAAATATAAATAGAACAGCAGCATCCAATGAAGAAATCGATAACAAAAAATGATTGAACAATGATTTCACATTCTTACCATCTTTATTATCAATTAAATATACTCCATAAATAATAAATCCATAAAATGAATGACAACTTTATTAAATTTAATTTAATTTCAAGCTCATCGGTTTTAGTTAAAACTTCACAACAAAAATGGGCAAGAAAGATAAGAAGAAGGATGAGTAAGTAATTTTACAAAACTGTAAAAATAGTGTTGGGTATCGCTAAATCATATGGGAAACTTTTAGAAGAACTTTTGTAATTTTGAGGTTAAAAATTGTTGGTACACACTAGTTTATATACACTACACTACACATACATGTACAGTTGCACTTAACCAGTTTGAAGCTGTGTAAATAATTATTAATTAAATTGTTATTTTATTTTTAATTAGTTTAGTTATTGTTTTTTGTCTCTAAGTATTTATATTTGGCCATAAAACTTGTTTATGATAATACTTACGTCAGCATAATTTACTATTTATTTAAAAAATGCGATTCATAGGGCGGAACCAGGACCAGCAGCCGATGCACCACCAGCTGATACTGCCGCAGGTGAGGGCGGTGATGGTGAGATTGTCGGTGGACCGCGCAATCCTCAACAGATTGCAGCACAAAAACGGTTACAGCAGACGCAGGCACAAGTCGATGAGGTGAGTATGTGTGTGTGTAGCTGTTATGCTAAGTTTAACCAGACAGATGCTGGCTGTTATGTATTTGTGTGATTTAAAATGTTTATGATGGATTTCCTCGTAATATTGAGAGTCTGTTCTAGTCTTCGATTAAATTTTAGGCTTTATAAAGTAGTGACTCAACTTTTTCCTTCCAATGACTCAACTAAATGGTTGTATACTTAAACTTGGTACCAAGACAGCGGTCGGTCTATTCACAAAATTCAATCGTTTTTAACTAGTTTTTCATAGAACCTGTACGAAGTCGGAAGACAAGGTCAAAATTTATCCCCAGAAGATTCTGCAATCATTCGGAGAAAAGGTTCACAAATATTTCTTTCATTAATTCTATTATGGTCTCGGTTCCTGTATCAAATTTTTTATTTATAAAATTTCATTCCATAACAAAGTAGTACTTCTGAACTGCAATATTAGTCATTGAATTCTTGAATATGCGTATTTTCTCTCGTGCAATATTTCCTTCTCTCAGTATATATTTTATGAATGGTTTCAGTTTTAACTTTGAACCAGCGATATTTTATGGATTATTAATAACTCCAAATTGTTCTATTCATTTTAAACAATAGTAAGGACATCATAAAACATATTTTTTAACCTTTTAACATCGTGTCACTTCAGAAGATTGGAGACAATTGGTGAAATGAATTTAGTGCAATAAAAAAGCAACGATATTAATACATATTTCTGATCAAAAATTAGCCGAACTGACAAAAAGAAACTACATTTTTACGTATTTCAATACAAATAGATTGTTTGACAGTTTTGACGTCATATTCATAAACCCGAGTCTCGTCACCAGTTAGAATACGTTTGATGAATGTAGGGTTCTCACCTATCATATCTCAATAGTTTCAGTACGAGTATAGCATTGACACTTAACTTAACTAAGCTAATCTAGCCTACATATTCCTATATTCATATGCTCAAGCTTACACTCTTACATTCACGCAATAACATTCGTGTTCATAGGTCGTCGACATAATGCGAACAAATGTGGAGAAGGTGCTTGAGAGAGATCAAAAGTTATCGGAATTGGATGATCGAGCTGATGCCTTACAACAGGGTGCTTCGCAATTTGAGCAACAAGCTGGTAAACTAAAACGAAAATTCTGGTTACAAAACTTGAAGGTACCGTTACATTTATCCCATGAAGTTACATGTATTTAATGAATTTTTCCGCATCTGCGCCACAGATGATGATTATTATGGGCGTTATTGGACTGGTCGTTGTGGGCATTATTGCAAGTAAGTGCATGAAAGCTCAGCAGCATTTAAATTCCAAATATAGCTGTTGACAAACTCTATGAATAATGTTTATATACTTACATGATTTTAGTTTCAATATTAAACTATGAGATTTGCCTGACCTTGGCACACACACCTATACATATATTTACATATATTTTAATAGCGCCTTCTCAAGTGTTAAACTTTGCACAATTTATTTATAAAAAAAAAATATTAAATTTTAACTTTTTTTAAATAATTAATTAAATAGTTTTAAATTCTCTTAGTAAACTATTTATCTACACACTTTTTAACTGATTGAACAGCACATTTGATTTATTAGAATCTTTTCAGCACAAATTTCGATTGCACCAAAAAGAAAATATTTTTTCTAACAATTGAAAAAAATAATAATATTTTACTTAAAATTATAAAAAAAAAAATTACTTTTACAATACACTTACACGAATCATTTCTGTCATAACATACGCATCCTTTATGTTGTTGTCTACTATTTTTACTCTTTTATTAATTACCGATATAAATATATATATCATTTTCTATTTTATTTTTGTAGGCAATTTTATGTAGAGTGCTAGAAAATATTTTACAAAAAACAAAAACGATAAAAATTAATAAAAAAAAATCGAAATTTTTTGAAAGCCAAAATTTGAAGATGAAATTGTCAGCGTGCGCTATATGTATGTATTATGTACATATTTACTAGCGGTATCATGTGAAAATGTGCAGCGAAACTATTGTAAAATATAAGTAGATTAAACGAACAGCTCAACCAACTGACAACAACAAATAATTAAAAAACAAATTTACTAAAACAAAAAATTGTCAATTAATGCGCTCATACCGCCACACATACATACATGTATGTATATGTATGTATGTATATAAGTGCATATGTAAATCCCACCAAGGCACAATCGGAATGCGGAAATTAAGCAAATTCAAAATTTCAACAACTCTAATCGGTGTTAATTGACTTGTAATTGAGTGAATGAAATTGTTCATTATCCCATCAATCACATCGGCGGTATCACAGTGCAATCATAACAAATGTCAATTGGCCGAAGCACCAGGTTCGATATCAGCGAAATTCTTGTAAAATGCATTTTTGGCGAGCAGACGTCGAACGCTTGAGTAATCTGTAGTTGAGTTTAATTGTGCAATTGCTTTTAGTTCGTCAATTATTGTTTATGTATGGTATATACTGAAAAGACGGCAACACTGTCACATTAAGACCCGTGAAGTTTGCATTTGTTTGTGGCAAAAGATGCGCTCGGATGGTTTAATAGAAGAGTAGCATTTATGCAACTGAATCCTAAAAGTATGCAACGTAAGTAAGCGAACAATATTTGGTAAACTATTTAATTATGGTTATGTAATCGCGATTAATTTTTTTAAAAATTTGGAATCTCTTGATCCCGTAGCCGATCTCTGGTAGGACCTTTAAAAAAGGTTGTTTCGAGGCGAGACAAATTTCTCTTAAAACTATCTCAAATCCGAAAACATAAAGAATTTATTATTACAATAGCTAAATACAGGTAAAGATCTAAGGACTTGTCAAAATTTCGATTTTTGAGAAAACAGCAACTTACCAAAAAAAGTAGAGTTTTTAGTGAAAAGATTAAAAAAAAATCATAAATGTTAGGTAAAATCGTATTTATTCTATCATTGATAAATGCGTCTAAGAAGATCGTGTGAAAATTTCAAGTCGATTGGTTCAGCCGTTTCGCTGAAATTTTTCTCATCGACACTGAAAACAGGGTTTCGAGAAAATGTGTTTAAAGTTTTTGGAGCCGATTACACTGAGTTAAAAAATTCTATAAACACGTTCATATCTCCGAAACGATTTTCCTTTAAGGCACAGCGTGATGCCCTACCATTCTCAGTTTCAGCAATCTCTAGAAGTTATCAGGCTCTTGCCAATAATGTATTTTTGATCTGGGCATAAGATAAAAGTGACTTCTGCAGTCTACTCCGTACCTGTAGACTCAAGTTCGATTTTCGTTATCCCTAGGTTGCTTTCAATTCTCGCCATTAGCTTATAACTGAGCTCAACACTTGTATAATAGGCGGCTATACTTTTTCGAGATTAATAACTGAGTTTTTCGAATTTTTGTGATTTTTTTTTTTTGCTATTATTTAAGAAATGCACCATCCTCCCACTTTTCTGTGTCTTCGAAAGGATAGATAGTTAAATTAAAAATTGAGAAATGCACTGCGACCAGTGGTCTGTTGTCCCTCTCCTCTTATCACAACACTCATTTCACACGGTTGAATTGTAGAGGCTTAGTAAAGCTTGTGTGTTAATGGTTGTGAAGTGTTTTCGTGCCGAACTCATTTGCCCGATAACCGGACTCCTTCTTCTTGTGATTAGTGGGTTATCAAGGAGTATGTGCTCTGGTGTCTCTGCCTTTTGGTCACAGAAATGACACAAATCCGTATTTTCTGACATATTTTTTGCTACTTAAATACCATTTACAGTAGAGTTTAGGAAGCATTGTGTTTATTTCGAGCAGAGTTACTTCTACGTCAATTAATTCGGGTGCGTACATAGTATCCCCATAAACATATGATAGTCTCTACATATACTACTCATATTAAAACCATTGCATACTTTTAAGAGTTTAACGAAAGTCGAACGCAATCTGCTAAGCTTCGTAAAATCTGTAAAGCACATTTCTTTTAATAAATGTTCTAAAACAAAAAACATAAAAAATAATTAAATTTCTGAGTGCTTCGTTTTGCGATATTCACGAGTCGTAAGTTCAAAGTGGTGTTGTTAAAAGTTGTTAGAAGTTCGTAACTTATGAAATTGTTCAAGAGTAATCAAAGTTCTCGTTTTTGCCGTTTGTTTGTTAGTTTACTTGTGTGTTCGTTTGTAATTTAATTTCGCCAGTTGCGTTCACTTAAATGTACCTGCCGTTAAGTTAGACTATATTTGGTTGTATTTAAATTTGGTTAAATTAGTTTTAATTATTTAATATTATTATTTTTTTTAAATTATTCTTTAAGCTCAATGCTTTTTTAGTAAAGATTTTAGGTTTTAAGACTTTAGTCATTATATTTTTGATATTAAGTGGTATTTATGTTATACTAGTTAGCCACTTACTTTTTTTTATATATTTTTTCACTTTTATTCTTTTTATTGAAATAATAATCTTTCATCGATTGTAATGTTAGTTTCTCTTAGAGTGAGCATCAGAGCATCAAAGGCGGCGTTGTTCGAACTTGTCACAATTATGAGAATGCATTTTCAAACAGTGCTAAAAAATTTATTAATTATGTATATAATGTATAATTGTAGTTTTATCTGTTAGGCATAAATAGATGCAAAAAAACTATATGTTTTCATAATAATAATTTTTCAATAAAAACGTTTTAAGATATTAACAGAACAGTATCATATTATCCCGGGCCGAGGGCTTTCAAACTTAATAAGTTAGCTTGCAAACAATGTTAGTTAATTTTAGAAATATCTCAAAAGTAATTTTAATTATTACATTAGAACAGTACTTTAGGTGAAGACTTTGAGTTTTGGAAAAATAGCAATTTTTAGAACCATAACTTGTAATTTCGTTTTTAGATTTCACCAAGAAGTTGAACTATTTTTTTTCAATATTTTTCAAAGCAAATTTAATGAACATTTGTATGCAAGTATTTTTTAATTTTTTAATTTTTTTAAAATAATTTTTAATTAAATAATATTTAGAGTTATTGTTATATGCAATACGCTTTTTTTTTTAATACAAAAGTATACAAATTAGTATTTTTTTGACAATTATTTTTTTGAAGTTGCGCATTATTGTTGATTTCAAAAAGATAAATTTTTTTAGATTTTATTTTGTATTTTATTTTTAAACTGGCAGTGCTATGTTTCCCTTAGTTACTAAAATTATTGAACCTGTAGATTGTTGCCAACTAAGCTTTTAGTATTGAAGAGTTAAAAGTTAAGAAAATATTAATATTAAAACTTTTTTTATCCAAATTTATGTTCATAAATATTACTGAAAACTTAAAAACGAAATCCGCACAATCCAATTACATAAGAGAATTTTTCCTTGCAAGGGCGCAAATAAAACTACATATTAGGGATGTCTACAATTTTCACATATGAGTATAAACCATACTTCATCTCAATCAAAGAAAATAATATGACTGTTTAAATATAAAAAACAAATAATAAATTTATACACAATTATATATACTTTATATTTTTATTGTCTATATTTGAACTTTTATTTCATTTATTAAAAAAAAAATTGCAGAAAAAGATGAAGATTAACTCACGTATAAAGTTTGCACCATTATTTGACCTAAGCAATAAAATATTTTACACTCAATTAATACCCTGCGAAAGGTAAACAGAAAATTCACCTCAAAATCGCACCAAAATGGCACAATTTTCAACATTTAACAAATCGCTAAGTATTAAAAGAGCCATAAGAAAGCTAACTTTATTTTGATGGCGGCTAAATTATAGAAATTTGAAGAAGAGTCGCTACAAACACAGAGTAAAAAGTTTGAAAACATTTTGGTGTCATAAAGTTCTTAAAATTATTATCAGTTTTTTTTTTGTTTTTTAAATTATTTTAATTTCCATTATTACTCACGAAACTTAACGCGTAACTCATCTCAACACGCTACAAAAACTCGCTATCATAACACACATGACCAACTTGCCATCACAAACAAAAATTGGTATTTTTAATTATGAGAAAAGAAACACGCTTACAAATTGCACTTTTGTTTTTCTGTTTTTACACAATTTTTGCATTGTAGAAGCATGGGTAGTACCAGCCGTTTCTGCCGTAGACGAAACTGTTTCCGCACATTCACAACCCGAATACGTGCATACCGATCATAATAATAACAATGCTATTGGCAAATACACAAAAACATCCAAATCACACAAAAACAACGCATCTGAACATTCACGAACATCGTCGGCATCCGAAACTGAAATCGAAACCGAAACTAAAAATCAATCTGTTAACGAAGCTGAAGCTCACGCATCCAAACATAATAGGCACGCACATGAATCCGAATCCGAACATGCACCCGAATCCGTGTCCGAAACTGAAACGGTACACGAAGGTGCACCCGAGCATACCATACAGAGAACACCCACCAACAAAGAGGAGGGCGGCAATCCTCCGGCTGCTAATGCATAAATAATCGTACAACATAATTCAAAATTTTCATAAATCTAACTAGTTTAACAAAATTGAAGATAAATTAAACATTAACATACTCGTAACATACTGTAACCATTTTTTTCACAACCGAACTTGATTGTGCTTTCGGCAAATTTGTAAGCTATACTCCGCATTATTTGCATATATTTTGGGCTTTATTGTGCGTTGATTTGAATTGAATTGAATTTATGTGTGTGTAAATTTCGTGCTTAACCCGATTGGAATTGAAACTTCATCATCATGATCATCAACGTCATTCTCCCGAAATCACACCCCACATGTACACTAACAAATTTCCACATTTTCGAGTAAGCATGGTGCATGACATACCCTTGCGATAATTTTTACTAACATTGGCATATTTACCCTCCATTATATTATTTTAAGATATCTGTCATAGATAAAAGTATCAAGGACCAGCAATATTAAAATATTTATTTATATTGGAAATAGAAAGAAGCTTCATTGAGACTCAAAGTTGGTTATAATTCCCAAAACCAAAATAAATCGGTTTTATTTCCGAAATTCCACCAGACCTACAAAGTAACCGTAACAAATTACGTATTAACAAGCTTTTAAGTCAGCTGAAAGCTCAGTATAACCACATTTTTAAAGTTTTTGCTTAATAGAAGCTCAAAAAAAAGCTCAATATAACTCAATACTCAAAGCTTTTGTTTAATGGAAGCTCTAAAAAAGCTCAGTATAACTCAATACTCAGAATTTTTATTTAATGCAAGCTCAAAAAAATTTTAAACGATTAAATCGTTTCAGTACGACACTTCATATTGGTGTTTAACATTTTTCAGAGTTTATTTTTCATCAAAGCATTCGTTTAATCCCGAGTTAAGAATTTACTTCACCAGTTTTTGTGTCAAGTTCAAGTCAAATTTATCTTGTCTTATTGCTTTCACCTGAAAGACACGCCCTCGATTTATTTAGACCACGATTTAATTAAAACTTTTAACCTTTAGATTTACTCCATTAATCTCTTCCACGATGCATATATGTATATGTATATACATACTTATGTATTTTGTAATAAAATACTCGATATTATGAAAAAAGTGTATTGTCAAATTTGTTTATGGCCCCTTCATCAATTATCTTGTTTAAGTCTAAAACAATCTCAAGCAGAAAAGGTATTCCAGCACACATATGTGTATAACTTTGGTGTGCAATATTTGTGATTAAAAAATATGTTTATGGAAAATAACGGATCCATAATGAAGTTAGGTGAAATAATCCTGTTCCTAAACTATTTCATAGAATCTCTATTCCTGCTGAATGGTTTTCAAAGAGGACAAAACTTTGTTCAGTGATAGTCCTGATTTTAAATATATAGGCCTATGGTAATTAACCATTTGATGTTGAAATTGCAAATCTTCCAAATGAAATGTAATTGTAAGTCTTTCTATGTAAAACTTATGTCTGACACAGCTACTGACCTACTTTTGGCGATAGGGTTCGTTTCCAAATTTTTCACTGGCTAAAATCCACTCAAATTCCAATAATAAAGGAAGCAATCTGAATTTCGTTTATTATTTCCAAAAATTGGGCATCATTGATGGAACCACTAACCCTTATTTTCATTAAGTCTCTATTGGATGCGTTTCTTTTGATTGAAGCTCTATAACCTTAGTTTTTAAGTGTGATACATATTTGGCTAACTAACACGACTTCATATAATATCAATATTTTTACTTTTTAAGCGTGACATTTGACTAGTTAGTCCAGTCCTCTAAGGCAGTTCGATAATCAAATTTTTCTGAGGACGGTGTCAAGTGATTGCTTTTGTACAGATTTATTACGAATGTCATTGCCAACTTCTTGTTGCAAGCCTTTATTCCATAGGCTAACATTTCTAGCTTGCTCTGTTGTTATTAACCTATAAAAGACTAATCAACAGAGCAGTGCAAACTCGTGTCTAATGTTTCTGCTAAGAGCTTACGTCGAGTTCAGTAGTTCGGTTTTGGGATTCTCTAATGTGAATAAAAGTTTCTCTTCTGTCAAGCGCCGTTTAAGGATCAAAAAGTATTCCTAATCTTTAATTATCTAAAGTAAGTATGAATAGGTGGAGGTGGGTGTGGATTTCACTTCATATTATCATTTGTCAATTGCTTGTTGTTTTACTTATACACGCATATGTGTATATATAAGTACTTGTCGATTGTTTACATCGCACTGCTATTATTTTCATCATAGTTGTATATACAACATATTTCACAGAAACATCAGTACCGTAATTATTCGAAGTACTCTAATGCATTCCAAGTACAATGTATTAAGCATAATTGTATTCATGTCTGTATGTATGTAATTGTTCACTCATATTGTATGTAATTACTTCATTGAAATTGTTTGCATTACATTGCAAAAAAAAAAAACAAAACTGCTCAAACATTTGTTGAAATTTTATTAATCACCAATTTCGATTTTTCTTCCATATCACAACGCAGATAAACTAGGATTAATAGGCGGCGAAACACAGCCACAATATCCACAGTATCCACAATACATGCCACCACCACCACCACAACAACAGGCACAAGCGCCAGCCGGTGGCACTTCATCATTGGCTGACGGCGGCAGTGCTGGCAACAAAGAGCAACACGGTGCAGTATAAAGATTTTCTTCAAGTGTATTAAGTTAAAGTGGGAACAGTGGAGCAAAATAAAACAACTAAAACCAAAAATGAAAAATAAAAAAAAAACAAGAAAAATATAAATACTTCAAATCATTAGAAAAAATATTTAAAAGAATTACCAGAAAATTTGAATGAATGTCAGAACAACAATTTAAGGCAATTGCAGGAAGTGCGACAAATTGTTAGCAGACGAACACATAACCTCAAAAAAACAAGAAACAATTTAAGGAGTTTTATTGTTGCGCCATTTTTTTGCATTTTCTCGGCGAATTGTTTTGGCAGCGGCGTTGAAATGCTGTAGTGTAACTTGGTTACATAACTTTTTCTCCATTTTTCATTAGTAAACTCAAGCTCAAGTGCACCGTTAATGGAAATTATTTGTTATTTTAGTTAGTTTTATTAGTGTCTACATCCCTCTTTTGCTCCAGTAACTCTCGCCCGCTGTCAACTGTCAAGTATTTGTCGACACAATTGCTAACACTTGTGTGCAAAAAAATACAAGTACAGTGTGGTACTGTAAAGAATCGACGTGCAACGTAAGTTTTTGGCAATAATTTCAATACATGTACACCAAAAATGATGAAACTCATAAAAAATTACTTACTACTTTAACTTTATTATAATATTTGAACAATGCGTAAAAAAAATAATTACAATTAATATTTGAAATATTGACATTTACTGCATATTTGTTTATGGTTGCATTATTTGAAATGCGAAAGCAACAACAACAAAAAATACAAAATGTGAAAAACCAAAGAGCAACGGGCATAAAAACCAGTGTTTAAACTACAAAAACAAAACTACTTGTATTATTAATGAAAAATAAGAACAAAATAAAAGCAACAGAAATAAAGTAAAAAGAAAACAAGATGCTGGAGAACACAGAGAATAAAAATAAATCATACACTCTGCGTAAAACTAAAGTGACGAGCAAAATATATAAATTTTGTGGATTTATGAATTTTTATATTTATGTTTTATGTTTTGAAAATATATAAATCTGTATGTATGTATTTTGCAAAGAATAATTTTTGTATTTAATTTAAAAATTGTTATAAATATGTATTTATTCAATTTGTTATAATAACTCTTATTTGAAACATTTAATTTGCTTAGCAAAAATGTATTTAAGTAGAAAAAAAATAAATATAAGCAAGTTAATGTTAATAAAAAAAACTTATACGAGGCACATGTATGGGAATGTTAAATTTGTATTAGAAAAAATCGTGTTTTTGCTTGAAATGGCGTGCATAACTACATATATATATATATATATATATATATATAAATATACTACATAAATATACATATATATGAAACTAATCAGTGCGTACGCCTAATTAATTAATTAATTAAATGCCAAAACTACAAAAAATGTTTAAACAAAACAAAAAAGACAGAATTGAAAATATTTTATTTTGCTTTAACTTTTTCCTTACTAATATATTTTGTAATTGCGCTATTTTCTTTATATGCATGTAGATATTTCACGCCCTAAAAGTTTTAACAATCAATAAAACAAACAATAAAATTTCAACGATTATTTTAAGTCACAATTAAGAGCGATTGTTAAAAAAACTATGAAATAAAAAGCTTTATTGTCATGCAAACAAGTTACAGATACGTAAACGGCTATGTTAGTGCCTGCATTTATTTCACACAAAACTGTAATGTCGGGCATTGCCATATCAAACTGCGTTAGTTTGCTCAAAGTGTGATTAGTCAGGTATGTGTAACGGTGAATACGTAGCATATTGGCTATTAAACGCATCTGTGGCGTTGAATCGAAATCGGCTGATAACTTTTCGGCGCAAAACTTTAAACTGTTGTGGCTTAAAAGCGGCATTGGTGCCAGAAAATATAAGCCAGATCGCAATATTTGATTTATACTTAATTATTTTCCACAAATTATGCAGGGAGTATAACATTTTTGTTTTGTTTGTTTTTCATTTAATTTAAGAAACGTGAACTGGCAACTTCTGGCAATATGTGATCAATCAGCTGATGCTTCTTATATAAACATTAATATTTACAGCTGTTTAATAGCGTTTGCTGGCACGACTAACCACACTATGACCAAATCTGTATGAAACAATAAAGTTTTTTTCTTATAAAAATATATAAATAATGGCAACAGTTCTTACAATAGCCGCGCAGTGTCCCAAATTAATAAAAAAATTAAAATTAAAATGTTCAATTCAATTTTAAATTATGAATTTCAATTATTAAAAAATCTACAATAACAATTTTAAATTCTGGTTCAATAACCAATATTTTACAACTGCGCGTGACATTTTGTAGGCTGAGATGTTTTTTGTTTTTGTTCTTTGCTGCCTCTATAAAGTTTTATAAGTATATATATAATATAATAAATATTTCGTCAGATATAAATGTATCTACTTGTTTGAACTTCGTTCGACCTATAGGGAAATTCAATATTCGTGGCACTTGCCTAATAAAGTGAATAAAAAATCTGATAATATTTTAAATGTTATTTGTTATTGCATTATAGCCAATAAGCATATAATTTTTTAAAACTTACAAAATTATTGGTAAAAAAAATATTTACTTAACAGTTAGAAGTGGGTGTGGTCAATTATTTTTATTTCAATGTCTTCTGTTTCAGAAACTTATTTTTTCTCTGAAACTCCATTAATAGTTGATGAAAGCGAAAAGTTTGTGGTATACAAAATATATATACATACATACCTTTATTTGTAACATATGCATGTAATAAGAATTTTGAATTCAAAACTACATTTCAAAACTTTCCCGCTGACCTTCAAATGAGAACTCGTACTAGCTATTAGAAACTTGTAACAAAAGCAAATTATGCTCAGTACAGTTAATAATTAAGGGAATTGTTAATAACTCCAAATACGTATTAAATAGAGATGCAACAACAAAAACCAATATTCCCCAAATAGGCTTTAGTATAATTTTTCATGATTAACGCTTATTCTTTCAGTAGAACGCTGGTAAATGTTAGATGAGCATCTCATAAATGTTGCACTAAAGTTTTTTAAAACAATTTTAAAATATGAATGTCAATAGTTTTAACTACCTAATTACATATTTAAGTATTAAGTGCTTATAATGTTTCTCAATATACTTTTTCAGTTGACGATTTTTCGAAAACTCTGCTGTTAAAAAAATATTCTACAAGCTTTTGCTCGTTCTTATACTATCGTATTTGTTAGTACAATATTTTCCATTTCAAGCAAAGAAAACTATATTTTTACTTCATTGAAAAATTCTAATAAATAATTTTAAATAAGATTTCAGTAAAACAACTGGAAAATAGTTCAAAAATTTTGAAAAACATACTAAATAATTCAGTAAAAAAAATTTAACGAAATATGTTGTAAAGGGAATAAATATTTAGTAGCAGCAGTAAAGAACAAAATAAATAATAATTACATACAAACATACATACATAATACAAATCAACCCAATTCCATGGTAGACAAAAACTAATTCCGAAACACAAACGAAAATTGTAGTCATTGAAATTGGGAACGAGAGCAGCATATTTCAAAGTGTATAAAAAATTAAAGAAATACAATGCATGCCCTGTGTATGGAAATACATACGTACACATATTAATATGAATATTATATAAACAATAATAATATTAATTAATTTAATGATTAATTGCACCCAAATACATAAATATTTAAATAAATAAATAAAACTACAAAAAAAGAAACTTTTGAAGTTTTTGCTTTATTTTAAATGAAAAAAGTAAGGGTTCGGAAGCAGTCGAAAACTTTCTTATTTGTAAGTATTAGTTGATTGAAATTAAGGTCGAAAGAATGCCGTACCGCAAGCGGCCCATTGTGCTTCCAAGTGAGTTTCAAATAAGTACCAGGGCACAATAGACTCTAGGTCGCGGTGCATACCTCAGTTCCCTTCTATTCTATTCTAAGCACATTCAACAACTCCGTAAATTTATTAAAAAGCAAATCTTCCAGCCTGAACAGCTTTTTTTTTGTTTGAATGGAATAATAAGGGCTGTAAAGGATATTCCATCGCAACCAGCTGAATATTGGACATTTGCTGAGCTAATGATCTTACGCTTAATAATCGTCAGCGTTGCACCCTGCTAATTCGAATAGTAGAAGCTTAATTTTATGCGTATTCGTAATATTCGCAGATCCGAAGTGTTCGTCACGTGGACATATGACTGGGTAATTTCGGAAATATGTGCGTATATGAGTCATATTATATAAGAACTGGGCGAAAAATTAAGAGAACATATTTCATTAAAGGGTTACATGGGCTTCGTCGAGCAAAAACGACTTTTCGTATATTCAATAATTTTTATTTGCATATAAAAATTAATATCTTATATTTATATTTTTTTCAAACTTTTTATTGTTCCAAAAATATATATATTGCAAAGATTATGTGAAATTTTCAAAGGAAAATATTTAAAACTCAGCCATTATGAAGATATTTCCGGCAATCCCTCAGAAAAAACGTGCCTCCGCGTTGACAGCAGAACTTCTTACAGAATCAATCGAAGTATAAAAAAATATACTTATTTTAATTAAGACCATGAACTAGGTATTGGGCGATGGGGGAAAAAAAGTTTTTACAAAAACGCAAATTTTTGGTTAAAATTTCACGATATTTTTTGTTTTAAATTTTTGTAATTGGAAAAAAAATCCTTCGTTCAAGACTCTTTTGATAATCGACTTTGAAATCACAGTTTCGAGAAAAGCACGTTTAAAATTTTATGTAACTATATAGCTGAACTCGAGTGCACTACTTTTCAAGGCTGTATCTCCAAAACTATTACTCTGATCAGCTTGAACGTTTAAGACAATATTCTAGAGATTTTATAGAATCAAATAGGACGATGAAAAATAAATTTTTTGAAGCCCATGTAACCCCTTTCGATATTTTACATATATATCGATATATATATAAGTGTATGTTTAAGTTTGATACGACATCCTTGTTCTCAGAGTTTTGGCAATTATCGTAATTCTAAGACGAACTGAAATTTCGAAAAATTTATCTCTGCATATTGTCTCTTCCAGCTATATACGAGTTCACTTGACCAACTAATACTCCGCCTCTGTTTACTCGTCTGAAAACTAAGGCTACAAAGTAGGCTTCTTCATTAAACTCATATTTCTGCCCGTTGAGCAATTTTTTCAAGTTTCCAAATAAAAGATTTGAAGAATACGGAGGCTGGAGCAGCAGTACGTGCGTTCTCATTGAGGAACAGAACCTTTTTCTTTTTCAAATGGGACCGTTTCTACTTTCATCATAGTAGAGGCCGTTTTTGGGGCACCTGTGACTAAATTTACCTGCGACCTGGCTGTATTTCGATAAACCAAAATTTGACAGTCGTCATCAAGAAGGAAGAGTTACCATATACTCATACAGCATCTAATCCTTATTAGATTCCCTTCCCGATTCGTGACTTTCTTTCCTAAAACATAAATCAAATTAGCAACCGGAATTGCTCCTTTTCCATTTATCGAAATTCGCGAATACGTCCACTTTCACATGCGGTCAAAAAAGGAGTCCAAATCGGCTTAAATTTTGACGAGAATTCATATACGTATGCATGTATGTATGTTAACAAATTTCTCTTCCGATATGTAGACATCGGGATGTGGGAATAAGTACTTATCATACCACTCTCACAAATTGACTTCGAAAATGTTTCACAATTCGCCCTCTTGATTATTTTTCGCTGTGTTCTGACGCATGTTAAGCGACAGTACTTGAAAGCACAGCGATAGAAATTGAAAGTAATCCAAATATTTTCGTGTTGTTCCTAAAGTTTAAAATTTTTCAAAAACTCTATCATAAAGATTAGCGAAGAATGATTTTAAACATTTTATTTACAATATTTTACCACTATTCCATAATAATTTTGGGAGATGGTCATAGAGTATTCACAGAATTATACTGGAGATTGAAAAGATTAGGAAATATTGTAGTATCATATGTTTTCTTGCAGTTATGTTAAGAGTCTTCTAGAAACTCTGTAAATAGAATATAATTAAAGATATCGAAATATATTCTGTTATCGCTTCATTCAATTGCTCGACCAATTTCAATACTCTTAGAAAATTTAGAATAACTTTTGGAGTTAATCGACGTATAAGATCGTCAAGAAATAATAGAAGGGATTGGAAAGATTCTTAGAAAAAACAACATAAGACTTACAGAATTATCAAAAATATCAGTAACAGATGCTCAACAGATTAACTTCGGTTGGCAATTACCTGTTTTAACGTATTAGTATCTATATTCGTTAGTTCTCCAAGTTCTTTTTGTTTGTGGTTTAGTAACCTTGAAAACCAGTATCTGTTGTAGTTATGTAGCGGCTGAAAGTATTCATCAAATAATTTTAAGGAACGCTGTCGAGCTAACATTTCTTGGCCAAATAAAAATCCCGGGCCTTTCGGGTTACGTAGACCACACTGTCAATTGAGTTCTGTATACGTTATTTAGAATCCTCCCGTTCTTCCAAAAATATATAAGCTCAGAAAGGTTCTGGCTCACTTGTTAGTAAGTCAGGAGTTTTTCTTCTTTGGTTAGACACCACTGCATCCTTCGTAATGCTATAATATATATTCATGTGCATTTTAATACTCTAACAAGAAAAGGAAACGTCAAAGACCCTATAGAGACATATATAAATGATCAGCGTGACGAACTATATACGCGTACTAGTGCTCGTTTCCCGGAACCGCCGATATCTGACTACGATAGCACATAGCTGCCATACAAACTGAACGATCGGAGTCAAGTGCTTGTATGGAAAACTTTTTCATTTGACGAGATATCTTCACGAAATTTGACACCGATTATTATCTAAAGCAATATTGCAATCTTCGAAGAATATTCTTTCGATCAAGTAAGCATATAGCTGCTAGTTTTAGCATTTAAACTGACGGATCAAAATACAATTTTTGTAAGGAATATTTTGTATTTTGCAGGGTATTTTAGCTGCGATGCAACCGAAGTTAACTTTCTTGTTAGATAAAAAATTGCTAAACCTAAATTTCAGCTACTCTCTCCTTTATCTGCAAGCATTAATAAAGAACATTAACATTGCTGTATTGTATTTGAATTGAAAGAGATATTGTCTAAGGACACGTTAAAGGATTTACCAATTAAATATAAATCCAATAAAGCCACAACAACAATGTAACAAGTTAAACTTGTCCAAACCAATTAAGGCGAAATATATCGGCAACATAAGTTGGCAGACATATTGCATAGTGCATAGGTGTATGTATGTATGTGTGTGTGTGTGTGTGTGGTGTATTCGCTTGGATGGCAAGTGTTTACCATCGAAGTAAGTAAATATTTATGAGCTTGGCGACGATTGGACTTGGCAAACCACAAGAGCGTTTGCTAGCAAATATGTGCATAAATAAATATACAAGTTAAACACATGTATAATGTATGTAGGGATGCAAGTATGGTGAAGCAACAAATACAAAGAGGATTGTCATAGTCCCTGAGTTTATTTTTATGGAAGTTTAAGTATAACCTCGTATTTTCTTGATTATGAAAAGCTTGAAGCATAACTCTCACGGCATTTTTCAATTGTCGAATGTGAGAATCTGTCGACTTTTTTGTTAATAATATGCTTGTAAGAGATTTTGAATATGTATGTATGTGCTTGTAGCGATCTGTGGTCTGTGTAGGTTCAGTTAAAATGGTTATTATAAATTCAAAATTATGCTAAGAATAAACTGGGAAAGGCATGTTAATTTTGCGGTATAGCTGGATATAAACCCAAGGGCATATATTTGCATACACGTGTGCTTTAAAAAGCAAACAAGGTAGCGAAATAATAACACTATTCTACAGTGGTTTTATTGCCCTTGATATAAGATCGGTTTTGGGTATAGATATTTATTTGTGATCACAATTCATGACACTCTCAGTGATTTTGTCAGATTTGCTCTCGTAAAAATAATAAAATCTCGTGGAAAAAAACAACAGAAATATGTATATATAATATCAGTTTAGTTTAGTAGGGATCGAAGTAAATAGAGAGACAAATGTCGAAAACGTTTTTCCTTTATTTTAATATAATATATAATTTTCCAGTTAACAATTTTGTTTAAGGATCAGCAATAATCTGCATAACGGATCAATCCCATCGACCCTTGATACATTCCTTTCTTCCATCACCTGTAGATCTTGTTGTAACCGCTCTCTCTGTTGCTCACTTAATTATCTTAATTATCAGAAAATTTACCTAAATTATTGTGACTATAGTCTAGATTGATACTCATATTTTCTCAATAATCTTAAAAGTGTCAACATATTTCCAAAAATTACTTGAAAATTTGTTGGTTTATGGCTACCTAGAAAAGTTTCGACTACATACTTACAATAAACTTTTACAAGCTTCACTTTCCGGTGACAGTGATAACTTTGATAAAATCTATATCTTTGTCGTATTTGAGGACCCACAGTAGTACATCTATCAACTTTTCCATACTAAGTTTAGGAAATTTTCATATATTTCCATAATTAAAATAATATTTTTACGCTTTGCAAATTGCCTTATCATTCCTAAATTGATCACGTATAAAATCCCTTAGTTCATTTTGTGAAAATAACTATGGCGTAGATGTTTCACCCTACCTTTCACTTCCCCTGATAGATTGTATCGATTGCTGGGAATTTGGTGACATCATTTGCTTCTAAGCACAGGACAATTACTCTTGAAACGCAAAGCGAGATTTTTATTGAGTAAGCCTGGACATTTCTACTAAATGTAGATTTAGATATCTCCAAGTTTGATTTTTATTAAACTTTCCGCATATTTTCGATAAAGAGTCTGAGAGTGCGCTTGTATGCGCGAAAAAGAGCCGCAGAACCCTAATCATGACTGGAAAAATAATATTTATTATTAATAAGCCTATAATTGGTCAAAATATAAGAAATGCATATAACATAAAAGCAACAGCACATTCAATACTTTTATGAATAAATTCGCAATCTGGACATTTGAAAGCATCAAAATTATCTCAAACCAGGGTAACAAAAAATATACTTTATTTGTTGAGTTGTGTAATAATTATGAATATGAACAAATGAATATTAAAGATATTAACAAATTTTGTTTTTGTTTGTTTTTAATTTAACATAAAAAAATTGGGCTAAAAACAAGCTTTTGAAAAGAAGTGAAATACATATTGTCATAATAGTAGAAATCGTTCGACAAAGATTGCTTAGCTTCTGTAACATTTGCAACGATTACTTGTGCCTCCAAGTAGGACTCTTTTAATAAAAATTCGCATATTCAGACTGTGAAATGGCTGAAGAGAAATGTTTTTTTTTTTTGTTTAATATAAATACATTAGAAAATCAGGCTAAGTAAGTTAAAAAAATTTTAAAATGTAACCTACTAAAGCGTAAGTAAATTTTGATAACGTCATTCAAGTCGAAATGGTTGATTCAAGAATATTTCCGGTGACCATTTGAATGGCCAAACATGATAACTGGCAAGGTCTGTCAGAAATCACCAAACAGTGGTAAGACCACACCATGGAAAAGTTTATGGTTGCCGTTCAAATCGTGCATTTTTTGTATTTTTCGTTATTTCTACATTTTTTTTATGTTACTTATTGCATTTGGTTTGTCATGAATAGTTAATTGCAATTTGATTGCTGTTGTGTCGTTAACCTGGCGATGCAACTGTCAATGCGATTTTCTATTGTGACCGCATCTTTTGTAGTATATATGTGATGTTGAATTTCATTAAGACATCTCGCAGATTGAACGATATTTCCGTTAAAAAGCTAGCCATAGGAACTTGGGTCCGTATAAATGGTATCTGGAGACTTGAAAAGTTCGATTTCGACATGACAATATTTAGTCATACCTTCAAGACACTGTTTGCTCAAAGTTTTGTTCCGTTGTCTTCCCTGGTGATGGATTTATAGTATAAATACAATAAAATTCTCAGATAGAATTTAATATTTTTTTTATTAAAAGTAAGGTGTAGTCCGAATTCAACTATTTTCACACTGTGAAATAAGATTTCGCGCCATTTTTGTTCGGTTATGCACAAATTTAGCTTAAGTTGATCATATAATCCTGTGCTAAAAAATTTCACATCAATGTGGGCGGTGTCTCGCCCATTATTGAATTACATCGATATCTATGAAGCCCTTAACACTAGATTGCCTAAGAAAGTCATTTTGACTGCTTTTAAATTACAATTAAAAAAAAATTATTTATTGTAAATAATGATGCAGCTTCTTATAATTTTGTGACTTGGAGTCACAAGAAGAAACATTAGATTAGATTTGCACTTTCATTTGCTTAAAATGTCCAGATAATGTATAATTTATTTTTTTTCGAACTGAAATACATTTTTATTTTATTTTTAATACTTTTTATTAACTTGTTATATGACTGTAAGTGATATAAAATATATTAAAAATTACTGTTAAACAAATTTCTTTGCGCATTGGTACAATAATTTTTTAAAAATTAATTCTGACTGCTTTCAGTCAGTATAGGTATATACTTACCTCCCGTCTTCCTAGCATTAAGTACTATCTTGGGTGTGAAATTTAACATCTGACGTATTTATTTACTGAAATATCGCACTTTTGGTACTTTGCCACATAACCGTTCAATGAGGAGTATAGTATATATATATATATTATATATATATTTGTATATATATTTTCACGCTGTATGAGAAGGTGCAAGATAGCAAGTTTAAGCTTCAGTGGTTTGTGAGTTATATGTTAAGTTGAATACAAGGATGAAGGCGGCATGGCCACGCCCACTTTTTAAAAAAATGCCCCTACATATGCCGATATTCTGCACCAAATAGTATATTGTATCTTAATTTGTGGCTGCGTAATAGCCTTTTTAGTGGCTTAATTAACTGTATTATTACATTACATTACTTGAACAATTACATACATGTATAATTACTTTAGTTATTTTAAGTGCTCTTTTACAACAAATTCAATTAAAAGTTCCAAAAGGCATCATCAGCTGATCTCAAAACCTTACTGTTCTTTGATGTGAGAGTTCTCGAAAACTGTTGTTATTATTTACTTGAAGTACTTAGTAATTAGTTGAAGAAAAGAAAATTAAAAATATTGATGGTAGGGAATACTTTCACTGCGATACTTTACTTTTTCTAGCCTGACAAGCGTCAACAGTCGTGCCATATTAGCACCCACATACGCACCTAATTTAAATGCAGCTACTACACAGCAGCTATGCCATAAAGATAGGATCGCGACTTGTTGGCAGCTATAGAACCTCCTAGTTGGCAAAACACCAATTAATTTATGCCGGGATTGTATTACTGAGCGGCGAACAAGCAGTCGGATAGGTAACAACATGGCTTGACTGAGATATTTAGCACAAAATAGTCGCCCACACCGACAGCCAACAGGAGAATAGCAGTGAAATGAGGTGTTGATGTGCACATACGTATGCATACGCATTTACAACACATATATGTACGTAGGCGCGCATGCAAAGACAAACAGCTGAGCAACAAAAGGCAGCCATGGCGTATACGCAATCTGACATTCGTTAATTTTGTTTTGCGCTTTCACACTCCAACTCCAAAGTGCTAACAACTAATACAATTACACATAATTAACAACAGACTCAACATTGAACGAGACACATTGCGATGCCAGGTTTGTGAGCAGGTCCGCTTGGCAAGGACATGCGCAATTGTCCTTTCGCATCAGCTTGACTGTCGTTGCGTGTGCACACATAAGTTATGATGAGATAATAAGATGAAACAACAATAGCAACAACCACAAAAAAATACAACAACAACAGCAAAAATAGCAACAACAACAACATAAAGAACAGCCAAACAAGAAGAGCAGCAACAACAGCACCTAATAAAGATGCTTGTAACAACTAGAGCAACGCCAACCACAAAAGACTAGCAGAAGTTTCCTGCTAGCACCGATGAGCATTACATAAATATATGATAAATATACATAGTATATATGCGTACATATGTATACGCAGCGCTCTGTTGTAACGTATAAATACAGCGCATCTGTGTGGTTCAGCTTCAGTTGTGTTGCCGTTAGTGCGGGCGAGTTTTCCTGTCGTTTGCACTGAAAGCTTCTAGAAATATATCGTCACTTCATACAAACTCGTATTTTGGTGCAAATCTCCAAAGTGTATACGAAAAATTCTACCATTGTTTTTGTGCGATTTAAAAATTCGAATCCTTATCTCCAAAACACATACATACAAGCAATTATTTCATAACTGCGTTGCCCAAAATTAGCATATTCAACAAATATTGACTCAAAAAAGCATCAATTTTGGAGACGAACATTGTAAATTGGCAGGTAAGAGCTGAAATTTTGCACGTGCCACACTGCCAACAGAATAGGCACTTGGTGGTAAACAAAACGAAGTACATGAACTGCTTTCAGATTTTCGATGTTGTTGATGAATCTATTTTTAGAAAACGTATATGTATGTACATATGTATGAATGAATGAGTAAAATTGGAAGGGAAAGCAGAAACTGCTGCCTTACAAATAAATAACAATAATATTTTTTGGCGCACACATCCAACACAAAGGAGCTGAGCGTGTGTGTCACAGTGATGTGCATCCGTACAGTGTTCTTCTATCTCTATATATCTTTAATAAATATATATATGAGAACTAATTTAGTAATGTCAGGATTTTAAAATGATAATCAAATGTGGCTTAGTTTTGCAAATTTTTTTTCAATATATTCAGTTTGGCTCTAAATAAAATTGTGTTTAAATTTGAAAATTTTGCGCAGAAAATTCAAGAACTCACAAGAGTCTTAATACCGCATTCGACAGTCTTTTACAAGTATCATGATTTTTTATTGACTCCCTAAGAAAGCCTGAGGATAATCGAGTGTATGGAGAGCATGAGTATGACACGTTAGTTCTATGTTTAAAACCTTGCTCAATAAAAACTAAAACAAGAAAAAACGTTAACTTCGGTTGCACCGCAGCTGTAATACCCTTCACAAATACGAAAGATTCCTTACAAGAATTTTATTGTGATCCGTCAGTTTGTATGGCAGCTATATAGGTACTATTGTGATTCGATCCGAACAATTTCTTCGGAAATTGCATCATTGCCTTAGATAATAACGCCAAGCCAAATTTCTTGCAGATATCTCGTCAAATGGTAAAGTTTGCCGTACAAGCACTTGAGTCCGAACGTGCAGTGGGGAGAAAAGAACCTATGCAAATTTTAAGATCGATATCTCAAAAACTGTGGAACTGTTCGTATATATACAGACAGGCAGACAGACGGACAAACAGATGGGCATGGCTAAATCGACTCAGTTCGTCACGCTGATAATTTCCCATATATATTTACATTGTAGGGTTTCCGACATTTCTTTTTGGATTTTACAAAGTTCGTGGCAAACTTAATAAACCCTGAACAGGATATTATTAGAAAGTTTTTGTTTTTACTGAGATGAAAATATAAAATTTATAAAATCTCTGACCAAATATGACGGAGAAGAATATATTTTCGCACTGCCTCCACCAGTCCTATCTGGTACTATATCCAAAAACTTCAGAGCGCCTACTTCCTTTCAGAATATGTACATTCCTCAGACGGGACTATTTGATGTCTTCATTGATCTCATGATGAACTTAGCGATCCATTCTTAGCGTATATGGCGGGTATTTCTCAATTGTCTAATCCATTTAAAATAGCACTTGTCAGCACATTTAATATATCCGAAACCATATTGACAATATTTCGGACTTAACCAATTTCTTCCGCTCCATTAGGGAAACTTTTAGTTCAACCGTAACGTATAAGCAACTTCAAACTGTTTCATATTCAAATAACAGTCTGCATATTAATGCTAGTGAAAGCAAAAGGCAAAAGCAAAAGCTTTTAGTTTTCTTAAGCGTTTTTCTGAAGAATTTAGAGATCCGTTTGTTGCTAAAGTTCTCTTTACAACTTTTGTTAGGCCTTTATGTATTGGAATTTGGCTCTGTGGTATAGAACCCTAGTTACCAAACTCATGCCGACAAGTTAGTTGGGTACAAAAACAATTTTTAGTTTTTGCCTAAAGGCATTCCGATTGAATTCTAAGGTGTAACCCAAAAAGTGAAATGGTTACATAGTAGTAGAGTATAGCTGTGCTTTGAACTTATTTGTATATAGTACATTGGTCCATATCGAATTTGATTATTTTAACTAAATTACAAGCATATGGTAACTGTTGGTCCTCTGAAATCACGTCCCAGCAAATTCCATTAATAATGTTTTAGATATCAAGGAAAGACTAACTCCAAGTACTACGTTACTCTCATTTGAAAAAATGCTTACACTCGAAGAACGAAGAACATTTTCTGTAGCTTCTTTTAGAAGGAGACATACTTAATAAAGATTGAAACCTATCCCAAAAAAACTACAATTGTTATCGAAATGCATGTATGGGTATATATTCAATATATCCGGTTAATTTTTCATAGAATGGCTCTACAAAAAGACTATTACTCAAGGCATCAAAGAACAGAGAATAAATACAAATACCCAAACGTTTTTATAAATATAATACCAAAGCCGATCAATGTAAAGTCTCGCCCAAGTTTTCTTTGTATTTTATGAGAATGATATTTGCGCTCTTACATAAATATTATATATTCAGTTCATACAAATTAGTTCCTTCGGTAACAGTTCTACCGGTTTTTCTGTAAATTTACCTAACTCAAAGGTCATTCCATCAATAAAGCGGATATTCTACATTTCTATTTTATCGCATTTCCTAATTCATATGTTCATAATATTCATCATAATATTAGTCACAAAACTCGAAGTCAGCCTAAAATCAAGCACAACCCTTGAAGCTTCTATCGAGATAGCTAATGAAACCCGGAACCTCAACATAATCTGAATAACTAATATTATATTATATATTATATATAATATTATATATACAAGTATATACATATATTGTTGTAAAATTGAGCAATATAACTATTTAAACCCGCTTTGAGGGTTCACCGCGAAATCTGCTACTCGATAAGTATATTATAAACTGAATAAGGATCAAAAACACAACCGTTCCTTTTCACCCAAAATTCTTTCTCTCTCTGATATGTTGGCCTGACTTCACAAGACTCTTGAAATGGTGCTTACCAATCGATTTAGTTATATCTAAATTAAATATTTCGAAGTTCAAAATATTTTACGTGTTCCAATTTGTCAAATTTTTAAATTAAGATATGACTGAACGCTTTTGGACAGAGGTCACAGGACGTAAGAAGTGGATGATAACAATCAATAGATAAAGACGTAAAACCTAATTCCCGAGGTAATGTGTTTGAATCATGATTGAAATTTTTGATACATGATAAGTATTTGTAAAAACGTTCTATTGTACTATATTTCTATCAACCTCTAAACTTTTGAAAGCAATTTTCCGCTGACAGGTCCAATCCAAACCAAGATTTGGTGATGCCTAATAACATCCACAATTGATATTAATGAAAGTAATGTTTTTTAGTATTGGAAATGTATGGAAAAAGCAAATGTGTAATCCAAAGTGGTCCAACTTGTGAATCTCTTCCAGATCTCCCCAAGCACTGAAGAGAGAACACAGCCAATAAAATATCTTTATTTTATGTTTCAATCCTATTCGCATTTAAATCCTTTATGAAAGCTCCTTGAGAACACTGTCGAAAAGTGTGATTCGAATTGAATCGATTTTTTTCAAAACATAACCTCAACTGTGACGCCGCTTATAGAAGTAAATAAGTAAGCACTCCCAAATATATGTATTTTGAGGTTATATGTATTTTGAATCCAAAAAATTTCTGCAGGGTCGGTTTCCACGAATATTTCGCCATCGTTAGCGAACACTGGCGTTTGCGGAACGACTACCCAATTAACTTCGAAAAATCGAAGTAACCGAATAAAACAGGAAACAAAACTACATTAAGGGTCATAGAACTGGCTGACGAATACGGTTACTAACCAAGCAGTGTACACAGCTGAGTGTCGATTACACAAAGAGCACGAACACGAATAGGGGTTGAGGGATGAATTACTTAAGCGCAAAAAACGGTAGTAGGGGTTGTATACATGACAAAAGCGACACGAAACAGTCGTGTTTAACGACAGCATATAATGTTGCCGTGCCTAGTGGCAAAAGCACAAGTGGGCTACAGAGGGAGAAAGGGGTGCGAAAAAGGTAGTTACGTGTGTTGTGGACGAAAATTCTCATGAAAGTGTGTATACAAGTAAATACTTTCGATACACATATAATATATATAAATATATGTATGTATGTATGTATGTGCATATAGGAAAATCAGCCGAAATGCCGACAAGGAGTAACTGCTTTCGAAACGGCGAACAGTTGAACAGCAGCACTCGGAGCGTACGGAACAGTTACCGGCTTGGGCGAAAGCGGCACACACAACTTCTCACGCACTTCAGCAAATATTCCTCTTCTCCACTGTACGGGTACCTCATTCCATTCCGTTGTTCAGTGTTCGGTTCAGCACGGGTTGGTTCAATTAATTCAGTTTCAGCCTTCAGTAGGTACTGGTGGATTTTTTTCACACACTTCTCTTGTTATACCGACAAAAGTGGCAAAGTGTTAAACGCTAGCAAACTAACGTTACGTATATTGAACAACATTAGAAAACGCATCGTCAGCCAACTGAATTAAACGAACTAAACTAAATCCAGCAAAATGGCCGAAAATTGTGGAAAGTGCAAAAAATCGATTAGCAAGGAGGGCATCGTCATTTGCAATTCAGACGATTGCATGAAAAAGTTTCATCGCACTTGCGTGAATATCGACGATGCCATCTACGATGCGATTCAGAAGAATCCCTTGATTTCATTCAATTGTGAAGAATGTAAAAATCAATCGCCCAAAGCGCTAGCCGCCAAGCTACAGACGATGGAGGAGAAACTGAATAAAGTCTATAATGGCGTGAATCAGATTTCGACACGTATGTATCAGCAATATTTCCAATTCGGCAATGCGAACAATGTGGATCCGAAGAAGCAAACCAATAACCTCATCGTCGTTGGTAACAATTGTAATTCGGATCGTCTGCAAGTTGTCTGCGATTATGGGCGCTGGGTGCAGGTGGGCAAATTCGCAACCTCCACTAGTGAGGATGACATTATCGAACATTTGGCTGAGGAATTGAAGATCAATAAGAATCTAGTCAAGTGCACCAAATTGGTGAAGAACGATGCGAATTTATCGCAATTGTCATATTGTAAATTTAAGATTTCCATACCGGATTATCGATTCAATGAGCTATTCAATGAGAATATCTGGCCCAGTGGTGTTATGGTCAGTCCATTCACACCACGTTCACAATTGAATCAGAATCGTATATAAGGCAAAGCCATTGAAGGGCGGGTGGATGAGAGCGCTAATCGCAGACGGATAAATACGAAGAAGAAGAAGCGGAAAAGAACAAAGGAGGATGGGGAGGAGAACGGTGGGGAGGGTGATAACGAAAAGCAAATGGAGTCGCGACCACAACAACAACAACAACTGCTGCAACAACAACGCGAACGAAAGCCGGCTGCGACTGCGACAACGGTATTACAGCACGATGACGAACCGGCGGCTGAAGAGGACACACCAACGCTAGCGAGCTGTGACGATGCAGAAAAACAGGTGAAGACCGTAAGCGACAATGAATCGGTGATAAATGAAGTGGAAAGTGAGGAAACACAAGTATCACAGTATCGCGAAACAACAGACGAGGGCGTGTGGGAAGTGGAAGCAGCAATACCGGAAAACGAAACGGACGACGTGACTGATGCAACGCCAGAAGCAGAAGTGGAGGAAGCAGAAGCAGAAGCAGAAATAGGAGGAGAAGAAGAAGAGGAAGTGAGCGAAAGAGCAGCAAACACGACAGCAGTTGAGGAAGTCGCAGGCAAGAGTATAAATGATTAGGGGGCATGGCATGTGTGTACGATAGAGACAAAGTCCTTCGCTTTTCCGCAAAGTGGGCGATGCAGGTGGGTGGGGGAATGCGAACGCGCAGCGAATGTGTAAATTTATGCACGGAAATGAGGGTTGAACAATAACGAGCAATTCAATGGCTAACAGCTCGACTGAAGGGGGATACAAAAAAACGGAAATATAAATATACTTACATACATACACGTAATGAGAGTGTGTACGATTTTGAAAAACACCAACAAGAATGAAACATTTATGTACATTTTTTACATTTTCGAATGTGAAACAAGCTGAGCTCGCTACTAACAATGGCTTGGCTTTAATTTTCAAATATTTAGCATACATACAAACAATCGAATTGTATTGTTTCCGTAAAATTCATGCAAAATGAAATTAATGAAAATTTGTAAAAGCAACAAAATGCTGCTGAATTCATAACGCACCAGCTTTGGTGAAGCATTTCAAGTGTTTTAAAATGTGAAATTGGCGAAAATAATTGAAATATGCAGTTTTATATAGAAAAAGCCATATTGCTAAAATATATGTATCTATTTATATGCAAAAATTATGTGCATGATTTATCTAGTAATTTACAAAGAAACATAATAATGAATATTTGTCGTACTTACACACTTATCAAAGCAAAGAAAAACGAAAACTATATTTAAAACATTTAAGAAACGTACATAACCAAATGATACCGTAAAGCAAACACGAAGTGGAAATTATCTAAACAAAAATTATGTATCTAATTGCAACTAATATTCCCTTTAAAAGCATATGTAACACACAGGTGAAGATAGAAAACCAAAACATAAATATTTTAGTACGATTAGCGCTACTGTAATGCAAAACAAAAACTTACGAGTACGAGTATACTTTTTGTTGTATTTAAAGTCATACATTTTTTTAAAAATCTTTTTCATATGACTTCAAAAGCAACAATAGTTTTGAACTTAAAAATATATAACTTTATTTTAGTTTTTTTTAACTTTCATGTAATATCGATGGAAAAAAATAGTTTTTAAAATAATATAAAAAAATAATAATTTTTGATATTTACTAAATTTCATAAATTTTCAAAGAATTTTAGAGCTAACCGCACTTTTATAAATAAAATTAATTGGAATTATTTATAAAAAAATTTAAATGTTTCCAGTATGAATGTTTATAAGCCATTCATTAAATGCTATTACACAAATTCAGTAAAAAAGAAATATTTTGGAATTTTTAAAAACTCTGAATTTCAAGATTTTTGTATTTTTAAAATTTTTTTTTCAAGTTAATAATGAATTTAAAATTTTTAAAACATACAAGTTACTTCAAACTCAAAAAATATATATATGTATTTATTTATATAAAATAATCCATAATAAAAAATATAAGAAATTTATACATAAATATTTTCAAATATTTTCTAAAAAAATTTCAATTCGCCAATCACTGCAGCTATTGCACATACAAATTTGTTAACTCATTAATGTTTACATAAAAGATAACATGGCAAAGGAACGTATTTTCGAATATGTTTAAAATTTTTAAAAAAATTGTCAGTAACAGCACACAATCACACAAAAATTTAATTCAGCTTCAAAAATAAAATTCTAAATAAAATATTTTTGAGCACATGAAAATATTCAAGTTTTATAATCTTCTATAAATGGCGGCGTATTGCTTTATTTCAAATATTCTAAACAAATATTCAAAGTTTGAAAAATTAAATAAATGCAAATTGTTTTTCTACAAAACTTCTGGATATTAAAAAAAATATTAATTCTTTAAACACTTCAAAAAATATATTAAATTCTTTTAATTTCAAAATTTTTAACGTTTTATGAACTTTGGCGTAAAACTACGATTCAAAAATACTAAAAAAATTCCAACAAAATATATAAAGTTTTTTAAATACCATTTTCGAAAAATTCTATTCAAAATACTTTATATATTTTTTTTAAATAAAAATAATTTAAAAATCATTGCTGCAAAACTTTCACCAAAACAACCTAATATTTATAAACAATTTAAATGTGCATAAATTTCACAAAAATTAAAATTTTTGTATATCAAAACTTTTAAGGCTTACGTGTCGGCGTAACGTTCCATACAAAAAAATTCTAAAAAAATTAGAAAAATATATCTTTCGAATATTCAAAAAAAGAAGCGAATAAGAACTTCGTGAAATTTGGAATATTTTTGAAATAATTTATTTTTTAACAATTTCTCAAAATCATTATTTCATATATTTAGTAAACTCTAAATGTCTTAAATCATATAAACTTTAACAGTTTAAAGAACATATAAAAATAAAAATATATATTTCCAAAATATTTCAATATTATTTTATTTTTATAAATATGGATTCTCACTTCATGTATCCATAAAAAATATTTTAAAAAATAAATTGATTTCCAAACATTATAAAATTTTTCAAATATTTATAAAAACGTGCATAAAATATTTTCAACATTAAAAAAATTCACTTTTAATTAATGAATGTGTTAAAATAATATTTATTGCCTCTTTAAAACAACTTTCATTTAAATAATTTTCATAAATTTCTTTAATAAATTTAAATTTAATATAAAAAATACTTTTATAAAAAAATTTCGCTTCGAAAAATTTTCTAAATGCAAATTAAATAAATAAAAAAAATATGAATACGCTGAATTTGGTCGGCAATGCATAAATTTAATGACTATTTGTACTTAGCAAGTCAGTAGTTTAGTAATTAACTGTTAACTGAAATCAGTCATAAATGTCTGCCAATTCAATTCTTAAGGCAAAATGCAGAACAAATATCAAAATATTAATAAACCATATTTTCATTAACATGAAATTATATATATATTTTTGTTTTTCGTTTTTCTAATCTCAATAAAGTTCTAATATGAAAAATAATAATATTCTAACCTCAAAATATTTTCTCTAACGAAAAATACTATTTTTCTCAATATAAATTTTATACCAAAAAAAAACATATATAATATATATGGCCATCTTATTCATAGCACACAGTAAATACCATTTAAATGGCACTGCAAAATTGCGGCAGTGCAAATTTTAAGATTTAACAGCAGGAGAAAAATAATAGCAGAAGGTAAAAGAAATCGACAAAAAGTGTGAAAGCAAAAGACGGAAATGTTTAATTTAATGTCGAGATTTAAAATATTGCAAGTAAATATACCGCATATTACAACAAACATACTTACACACAATTTCAAGAAGTTACAGAACGAAAAGAAGAAGAAGAATTACATAAAATATAAAAAATATTAAAAACTTTATAAAAAGTAAATGATCAAATATGCCAACAAGCATACATATATTTATCTAAAATTCTTACACATATATGCATACTACATAGCGCATTGTATATACAAGCATACACACATACTATGTGTCTGTATGTATGTAATCAAATATATGAAAATTGTACTTGTAGTGTTTTCAAATGCATTCTCAGAGCTTTTGTCGAATGAGCATTTCTTTAGAAAATTTTGAAATTATGATATGAAATTTATCAACAATTACATAACGTATAAACAAAATATAACAACAATAACAATTAAAAAAAATAAGCACCGCAATTTCTTGCATCAATGCTGCCACTTCGGAACGCATTGCGACTTTCTTTCACAAAAGCAAATGCAAATTGTCGGTATTTGATATCATTTTAACAAAATGTGTGCAGCAGCAACAACAACAGCAACAACAAACAGCAAACGAGAAACGGCGTATTTTATTGCATTTTAGCAAGAACTGATCTATACACACATATACACGTGCAACAATTGTGCGGGTGTGTGTGCGCGTGCGCGCAGCTGTTGGCACTACACATGTATGAGCGAAGCGAATGTGTTTAAAAAGTAGGAATTTCAAAAATCCGAAAAATATTCGCAATTCTGCAAAAAAGTTAATTTTTTAGTAAAAAAAAAAATAAAGAAATGCAAAAAAAAAATTATAACAATAATGGTAGTTATTTATTCAAAGTGTATTTAGTATACAATATGCATGCATGTATTTATGTCGAATTTTTAAATAAATTCTAAAAAATAAAAAATGTTTTTGTTTTTATGAAGCACATAATTTTGTTGCAGGCTTCAAAATACCATCAAAATTCCAAAAATATTAACATCATTTATCACTATTTTTATTTTTTATGATTTTACTTTTAAAGGTGTAAAAAACATTATAACTAATATTCACCTTCACTCACGCGAGCATTGCTTATAGCATAAAGAGTATAAAAAGATTTTCATCTTGATTTTTATCGGTCAATTTATATGGCATCCAAAGATTTTAGCGTGCCTCGCACAATAATCTAGGCCGAATTTCGGGTAGATATCTGGTCAAACAAGAAAAAATTTCTATACAAGCACTTGATGCCGAACGTTCAGTTTGTATGACAGCTATATGCTAAAATGGTTCGATATAGAAACAAATGACAAATGAGCAGCTTTTTGGGGAGAAAAGGACGTGTGCAAAATTTCAGATTGATATCCCAAAAATTAGTTCGCATATATAATATATAGACAGACGGACAAATTGACGTGACTAAATCTACTCAGCTCGTCACTTTGTTCATTAATATAAACGAGTACAAGTATATATTATAGGGTCTCTGACATTTCCTTCTGAGTGTTACAAGATTAGGTTAGGTTAGGTTAGAAGGTGGATCCCAAGAAGGATCCCACTTGGACAGCTTAAGACGCCGGTCCGTTGGGATACCTACAAAAGTCTGAGTGTTACAAACTTCGTAGCAAACTTAAAATACGCTGTTCAGGGTATACAAATGGTCTTGCAATTAAATACAATATTGATAACAGCTGTGGTTATACAAATGTCACATTCTGTCTCTTATAAAAATTCGTTGCTGGAACAGATCGAAGTGATCGCAATTTAGATACTCTTCATATGGTTTTAAAACTTATAAGCCTCGTTTAAGTAAAACTTGATCACCGCTTGGAAGATCGTGCATTGAAAGCATTTAAAAACTTATACAAAATGTTTCATCTGATGAGGGCACTCTACGATATGATATGTGAAAGCTACTTCATATTTCGCACCACTATTAGGTATGGCAACTATCGCGAAAATAGTGGCCCATAGACAACTGTTCCCCAATTGAATAGCCAGTCGTTAGTTCAGTAGTCGTTGTTTCATTTATTACTTCCATACCTTGTTGGAATATACCATATAAAAATCTCAAATTCCGACAACTGCTTAAGACATGTTGACTACAGTATTTATATACTTTATACTTTCCGTTTATATAATTTACTAAAAGTAGACACCAAAAAATCGTATGCTTTATATTCCTTATTTTTCACAAATGATTTACTTCGTTTCATAATTTTTTTCCTTTTGAAGTTTTTGTTGTTTTAAAAATTTACAATGTCTCTAGATATATAATATTATATTATTATTATTATTAATATGTCTAAATTAATATTTGTTATTGCAATAATAGTGCCTAAACTCCGCATTCTCATTATATAATATTATTTTATGTTTTTTCAGTAGCCATACTCAATGCAAAGTACTAATATTGTAGCCCTAGTTACTAGACCGGCAACTATACACCAGTTTCCTTACAAAATACGGCTATTAATTAATTATCTTTTTGTAGGAAATCATATATCCATAAAGGTGCCAAAATTTGACAATAATACCAGTTAAGAAAAAATTCTTCGACTTAGTTTAGAAATTGCTCCCGAGTCCAGCATACTTTGAATTTGAGAACACACTTAACTTTAAAATATATAATACTTTAAGTATGTGGATATAAATAAATATTACATTGTGAACAAAACGATAGGACCCAAGGACCCACACATGCATAATCATTGGCAAAGATTACCTTGTGCCGAAAAAACATGAATATTTTTTCTTCTTCTAACACTTTTGATATCCTTTTGAACAAATTTATACTACAATATATTATATAATGAAACAGCATCAAATATACCTAGAGCTTTCTTAGCTTGACAGTCTACGAGAATGTACTTCGTGACCATTAAATGGTTCCCTCAGGCGGTTTTTCTTTTCTGTTTCTTTGTGTTATCTTAAAGATGGAGAAACTTGAAGATTACAAGGAAAATGGTAAAGAAGATTAGCGGGCAGGTTTTTGCGCTTAGCACGTCACGATAGATAGATGCCGATACAACGTTCATTTAAGACAAATAAATTTCTTTACGCAAACATAAAAAGTTAAAAAAGAAATAATAATCATTAAAAATGTTATACAATGGGTGGATTGGATATTCACGGTTATATAATATATGATATACAGCGGGCGCTTGCTTGAGACAGAAGAGGAATACCAATTCTATAAAATCACAACTAATTTAGAATATAATTTTTATAGATATTCCCTCCACGACTATGACCGCGACAAAAAGGTCAGCAAAGAGTAAGAGCGCAGCCAATGTTAAAACAAAGGATCAAGACATCAGCAATGCGGGCAATGAACAAGAAATTGAGAAAAATCCCCAGTGCGACGGAAATGTAGAAGCAAAGAAAAAGGACACCCTAAACCCTGCAGGAAATTGCAAATTCCGCGACACTTGCCATTCTTGTGCTGGTTACAAGTTAGCCACCTTTACAATTTATACAAATTTCACAAACTGGTTACATCGGCCCGTCGATGCCTCTGCGCTCGGAGTTTTTCGCATGCTCTACGGTAAGGCTATGAGCCTTGAAATTGAAAATCAGGCACGAATTTGAATTTAAATTTTTGTGCAATCAACAGGTTTGGCAATGTGCATCGACATCGCGGAGGAGCGTGGTGGCAGTCAAATGGATACGCGCTTCGGCGAGCCACGACATTGCCATTTTCCGCTCTTCAATGGCATCAGTGCGTTCCCGCTACCGGTGATGGGTTGCATTTATTTGCTCATGTGGCTTGGCGCGCTCGGCACAATGCTGGGCTATCGTTATCGACTTAGCTGCCTGGCGTATATTGTGCCCTATTGGTATATATTTTTACTCGATAAGCCAGCGTGGAACAACCATAGTTATTTATTCGGTTTGGTTGGTACAATACTGCTCTTTACTGCAGCCAATCGATACTGGTGAGTTCGGGAAGTCAATTAACGATTTCAAAGCGTTTTATTTTCTCTCTCTTATCGCAGCTCCTTGGATAAATATCTACAGCCGAATATGCCGGACACTGTGCCCTATTGGAATTACTTTCTCATTAAATTCCAATTCTTCGTGCTCTATATGTATGCTGGACTGAAGAAACTAACCGCTGAATGGCTTTCGGGTTATGCGATGTCGAGCCTTAGCGAACATTGGGTCTTTACACCATTTCGCTCATTTTTGTCGTCCGATTTGACAGATCTACTGATTGTGCATTGGTTTACAGCGATTTTTGACTTTTCCATTGCCTTCTTTATGACTTGGGAAGCAACCAGATGGCTAGCCACGCCCTTTATGCTCAGCTTTCACTTAATGAACTCGCGTCTATTTGTTATAGGTGCGATTTATAAGCTTTTTATTCATAAGCATGTATAAAGTATAATTATATAAATTACAGGTATGTTCCCCTGGGTATGTCTAGCCGAAGTGCCCCTCTTTTTTGGCTTTAGTTGGCCACGTAAGTTAAGTCTTAAGCGTTTACTGCAATTAATCAGCTTCACAGCCACTGATAAAACTGAAGGCCAGCATGACCCACAGAGAAAGCGACTAAATACAACAGAATCGAAAGAAGTGACTGAAAGTTACGCTACCTCAGGGGTTGGGACCGCAAGTACACAATCCACATTTAGCAAGACTTATGACCAGATTGCCAAAATAGCAGCAATAAATTGTTTCGCTGCTAAACTGCGTACAGCGCTCGTCTTGTTCTACTGTGCTCTACAACTCTTCCTACCCTACTCTCATTTCATTACGAAAGGCTATAATAATTGGACCGAAGGTCTTTATGGCTATTCGTGGAACATGATGGTACACACGTACGACACAGTGCTAACCTCGGTAAAACTTGTCGACAATGCTAACGGTGAAGTTCACTACTTGGATCCATATGCCTTCACGGAATACGATCGTTGGACCAAACATGCCGATATGGCATATCAGTATGCCAAGTGCATTGAGGCGAATATACGCGAAGATTATGCGCGCAATCCACAGACCAGTCCGCTGAGGTCGACGAATATTTCAATCTACTTTGATATTTGGTGCTCGATGAATGGACGCTTTCAACAGCGCGTCTATGATCCGCGTGTTGATCTCTTGAAGGCGGAGTGGTCACCATTCAAGCACACCAGCTGGTCGTTGCCGCTGTTGAATGAACTGAATCACATGCGTCCGAAATTGAAGACGATGACAGATGAAGTGATGGGATGGAGTAATTATTCGGATGTGATTTTTGTTGCCGACTTTCCGGGACTGACCTTGGATAACTATATTTCAACTGATTTGACAAATGTGACGCTCACTATTTTGGCCGGTAATGTGCGCTATAAGAGTGACGATGAAGATGAAGCTTACTTTCTGACGGCGGGCAAAAGTTTTGGGCTGCAAAGTGGTGAGACGCATCATATAACAACGATTGGATTGAAACCATCGTCATATCTCTATACATTTATGGTAGGTACATACTATACGGTTATATAATATGACCTTTAGAATACAGAATTCAGTGGTCGCACTAGAGGTTGGCATCAATATAGGAAACGGTTTATGTCTAGGAGTTTGAATCATAAGTAAAAGGGTGTTAGTTAGGTGAAGTGTTGAACTTGTCGAGCTTAAGTCTGAATAGCAAGAAATCAACCTGTCATAATAATAAACGAGTTGTGCAAGATTTGCTCGGGTTTCATGAGAGAAATCACACTCTTTAGCAGCATTAAATAGACATATAGACTAAAGCAAGACAGGCTTGAAGAGTGATTGGCAATGTACTTTAACAAGACGCATACTGTCGCTATACTAACGGAGATTGAATGCAGAGCTACCACATACGCCCCGAAATGGGTGTACTTCATTCTTAAGCACTGCAGCCTCAAATGAGACTACAAGAGTGAAAGAGAGCGAGTTTTTGTATTTGCAAGTTCAAAAAAAAAACCGGTATTCTAAATTACTAATGTAGGACCAAAATTTTTTAATGTTGTCCGTGCCATGGTTTCAGTGGCTTTTGTCTTCCAATGCTAATTTGAATCTCCTCAGTGATGAAAGTAAGATACTCTAAATTCTAAATTGTTCCAAAAATGTAAAATTCGAGTGATTTCCTAAGGAAAACAAAATGAGATATTAACTATATATGCTAGATTGAGCCCCACCAACGTACCCACTATTTGATCGGCCCATATTTACTCCCTGTTTGGGGTTAATCAAGTTTTCCACGAAGGTTGTAATTGCCAGAAGGAAACCTTAAGCGCCCTATAAAATATTTATACGTTAAAATGATCACCGTGACAAGCCGAGTCCATTTAGCCATGTCCGTCGGTTTGTATATACGTAAAATAAGACCCTCAGTTTTTAAGATATTTATCTGAAATTTTGCACACGACCTTGTTTGTTGGAATGGGCGATATCGGACCACTATAGCATACAGCTGCCATACAAACTGATCGATCATAATCAAGTGCTTTTATATTTGTGAAATGTATTATATTAAAAGAAATTGATTTTAATTTTTTTCTTCGCAGAACAAAACAATGATCGAAAATGCAACGCCCGTCTCTGAAAATATCAACCAAAAACCCAAGAAGCCGCTGCTGCCACTGTGGAATGAGTTTCGAAATCGCGTTAAAAATTACAAAGAATTTCTCAAACACATGGCCAATTGTGTGTTGTATTTGTTGTATGACGTGCCAATACCTATGGAAGTGCGTGAACGAAACTAGACTAGCTTCCAAACATGGATGTCTTACACGCAACTATTGTAAACTCAGTATTTAACGAAAAAATTACTAGCATTTTAAAGTGAAATGTTAAAATTGTGTGATAAATGGATAATAACGTTATTGAATTGTATACAGATTTTAAATAAAATTTATTAAAAAAATAAAAATACATTTAAAACATTATTGTTGCTTTCTTAACTGTAATTATTTATTTGCATATTTCACTATTCACAATACAGTTGTGTGTGTGTGTGTGGTAATTTACAGGAACCATTTTCAACAAATATGCATTTATATAGACCGTTATGTGTCTCGACTATGCTCCCTAGTGTCTATCTGTTTAGCAACTGCTGCCACTTTTCACCTTAAAACGACTACAGTGCATACATACTCGTAGTACGGTGTCCGTTATTGGTGAATTTATTTTTTTTTTATCAAATACTTCTCTGAAATTTCAGTTTTTGTCCAAAAAAAAAAAGAAACCAACGTTAACAAACTCTTATATCTTAATCAGGGTCTATTAAGTTTACTACGTTGTTTGTAACACTCAAAAGGAAAGTTGGAAAACCATATAAAGTACATATATAAACCGCGCCTAAAACATTTTACTTTTGCCATAAATGTGACGTGAGATCTTTTGTAATAAATTTTTTATCTCTAAGGTAAAGTAACCTATATCCTTATAAACTTGTTATTCTAATATAAAATTTTCCTCTCTACAAAAAAGGTTTTAATGATTTTTTTCATAAAAGCATTCCAACTAAACTTATGCATCAAAAGTACTGATTAATCAGAAATGTGCCTTATAAATTTAATGTTGCTCATACGCACTGGCACTGTATGTATGCTCAGTACACTTGATGTGTAACTTCAACTGCGTATAACTTTTAATGGAGTGGTTTTATGGAAAAAAGCATTGAGAACTTTTTTGTAGAGTAAAACATTTTTTACTAGTATATCATTATAACAAGTTTGTAGCTTTACTTGTTTAACGCAAAATATCAAGAAATTAGAAACGGTCTAAATTGCCGATAAAAAGTTTGTTTACGTCGAATCCTTTTATTGGGCACTGAAATTTCAAGAGGCGTTTGAAAAAAAAATCAACCTGGAAAATAACGCACACCATTATACATACATATGTACATGCCAGTTATATTATGTATATATAAATTATTTATTCTATACCTATGAATAATGCAAATCCGGCAATTAAATTGCTGTCAGCATTTCGCCATGGTAACTAACCGTTTGCAAAACTTTAACTAAAAACAACGTCGACATCGACTTGACTGCATAAGCCATGGCAAAGAAAGTAACTATGTGTTTGGAGGTTATGGTTTTGACATTTACTACATTTGTTTGCTTAAAACATACATACACATGTACATAACCATTACATACTGACAATGAATCATTCATGAGCTTCTATGTAAATCAACAATAATTAAATTACATGATACTAAAACTGCCAAAGGACAGTCGGAGGTGTGTTTGTATTTATCTTTAGGCGTGTGTCTGTGTGTGTTTGGATGAATAATACAGCGTTTAGGGATTGCTTGCGCGCGCACTCGCTTCCGGTCCGAATTGTTGTGTTTGCGTTTCCCAGAGACGCGCGTACAGACCGTTATGCTTCAAGAGTTCCCCGTGTGTGCCACGTTCACCCACACGCCCATTCTCCAGCACGAAAATCTCGTCGGCATCCATGACGGTGGAGAGTCGATGTGCTATGCATATGCTGGTGCGATTGGCAGTGGCGCGTGAAAGTGCTTGCAGAATATTCTTGAAAGTAAGAGTAATGAAAAATGAATGTGATTTGAAAACTTAAACGCTAACGCTTACCTGTTCCGTAATGGAGTCCAGACTACTCGTTGCCTCATCGAATATGAGAATCGGCGAGTTTTTGAGTATGGCGCGTGCAATGGCCACGCGTTGTTTCTCACCACCCGACAGCTTTAGGCCACGTTCGCCGACTTGTGTGTCGTATCGCTTCGGCCAGCGCATGATGGACTCATGCAGATCCGCCATGCGTGCAGCATTCTCCACATCTTCTTGCGATTTATTTAAGTTGCCATAGTGGATATTGTGCTGTATGGTGTCGTGGAAGAGTACCGAATCCTAAAATATTAAAAAAAAAATGAACGAATTCTGATTATTTTCGAAAAAGTGAGTGTTATTTCGGATAAATTTAGACTCGATATCTTCAATAATGCAAAAAAAAAGTTAAGTGGCAGTGATCTGGCCATTATAAAACCGTTCTAAGGGCTTTATGAAAATATTTACAAAAATGTTTTTTTCTGATTTATTTTTGTTGTTGTTGTAGTGTAATAAAATGTTCTACAAGTATTTTTGAAAAATGCTGTGAAGATCACAGGCCTAGACCAGATACAACTTCGAGTCTGGTCCGGTTAGATACACTCCACTGTCAATGTGCTCAAATCGCTGTTGTTGTTGTAAAGGCAGAAAATATCTGTGAAGTAATTTGGAGGAATGCTGCCGAGTTGACAGTCTTTGGCCGGATAAAAATCCGGGTACGTTCCGGTTTCGTATAGTCAAATGTTGTGGGAACCGTTAAAATCTACCATATCTTTCTTCGAAAGACTTCGACAATAAATCAAAAAAAAAACTCCTCCGATAGTTTTGACAGTTTATGTGATATTTTACTGTAGGCAAAATAGTACTTTACCTACCACCGCTTCCTCAGAGAGTCAAGTATTATCAGGATATCTCAATTTTTATTGAAGTTATCACTTGCACGAACATGCGGAGGTACGAAGAACAATATATCTAGAAATAAATTCGTTTCCATCTCCTGATATACACAACGCTTTCATATATCGTACACAACCTGATATCTATCTAGATTAGTGCTCGGTAGTGCTAAGTGTTACAAACAACCGTTAGGTGGACCAAATAATTATACTCTGGCAAAATTCGGAGCATTAAAACTAATATATTTACGTGTTATATTTTTAGTCTTACTTGCGGCACTACAGCGATGGCGTGTCGCAAACTGTCTAAATCCACTTCACTGATGTCCTGTCCATTAATGAAAATTTTGCCCGCATTTGGTTCGAAGAAACGAAACAGCAAACGCACCATCGATGATTTTCCCGAACCCGAACCGCCAACGAAAGCGATTGTCTTGCCAGCTGGTATGGTGAACGACATATTCTTGAAGATGGGTTTACCCGGTTCATACTCAAAATTGACATTTCTAAATTCAATAGATGCATTGTCAGAACCAACAGCCAGATGTGGTGCATTCGGCGCCGAAGCAATACGTGCATCGACATTCATAAGCGTAAACATTGATTGCATGTCAAGTAGAGCTTGACGCACCTCGCGGTATACGCTGCCGAGGAAACCCAAGGGGATCGAAAGTTGAAATAGTAAACCGTTAACCATCACCAAATCACCAACGGTCATATTGCCCTTGGAAATCTCATTAGCGGCTAGCAACATGATTAAACTCAGCGCCGAACTAAAAATGGCATTTTGACCGAAATTCAACATAGCCAAACTGGTGCTCGTCTTCAAACTGGCCGCCTCATATTTCTTCAGCACTTCATTGTAGCGGCCGGCTTCGAACTTTTCATTATTAAAATACTTGACAGTTTCGTAGTTGATCAGGGAATCGACAGCTTTATTGCCAGCCTCATTTTCGGCCTGATTCATATAGATGCGGAACTTGGTGCGCCATTGTGTAACGGCTAGCGTGAAAGTGGCATACACGCCAACACAACCCATTGAAACGCCGGCGAAGGCTAAGCCACACTGCGAAAGCGATATCCAAAATATAACCGTTAACAAATGTGGATATAATTTTAGCTGGCAAATATTTTACCTTCACGCCCAAAATGGAGGACACCAGGGCCAGTTCGAATATGGTTGGTACAACATTGAAAACCATGGCGCTGAGTACAAAGTTTATGCCACGCGAACCGCGATCGATGGTCTGAAAATTTCAAAAATATTATTTTTCAACACTCGAGCATAGACAACGGCACTTAAGTGCTTACCTTAGATAAGGCACCAGTCTGCTTATTCAAATGGAATGCCAAATCCAAGTTATGCAAATGCAGAAACACGTTCGTGGCGATCTTTCGGATGGAATGGTGTGCCACCCTGGCGAAGACAGCATTACGCAGTTCGTTGAAAGCGGCAGCGCTGGCGCGAGCTACGCCATCTAAAAGTATGCCGTATTTATATTTAAGTGCTTCTAATAAATCTTAGTAATTTTGTATTACATCCAAGCAGCATGGCGGTGGCTACAGACAACACCGTGTCCGGCGCTGTGTCCATATTCAACGTGTTCATCGTGTTCAGCGTATCGACGGCACCCTTAAATAGGAACGGCACACAAACTGTTAACATCTTGGAGCCAACAAGTAGACTTAAAGATATAGCCACACTGCAGGCAAAAAGTAAGGAGAGAAAAGTGAGGTTAATTAAAAAAAAAAAATTAATTATTTTTTTTATTCGTACCGTTTTCGCACAAGCGCATCCTCTTTGGGCCAGATGTAGTGCATCATGGCACGCAACATATCTTGTGACGTCACTTCCGGTGCGTCGAGTTTCCCCAGCGCACTGCCCGCATCAGTGCCGCCTAAATGAACATGACAATTTCGTAGTGGTAACCGCTGTGCTGTTGTTGTCGGACCTGTGGGTAATTACTAGATTCAGAAGTAAGACCCCAACAAGGTCACACAACAACAGTAAGCGTTTGATTGATGATTAATGACAACTAAAGGGAAAAATGTTAGCACGGTTAGCTGAACAAAAATTAGTCAAGTATGTATGTATGTACATACATAAGAAAATATTGCATAAATAATTCATTAACTAAGGCATAAATAAAAGTAAGTTTTTATTTAAAAGCATAGTATTAATATGATTAGTAGAGCTCGGATACAAATGCAAGTGCGTAGTTATATTTAATATTAGCAGATCACTCCATTTGTCATCCCACTTTATTTCATGACATTGACTCCCCTTCCGTTGTCCAATGACGCTTACATAGCATATTCTGTTGCAGACTTGCTTTTAATTCTAACAATTTTAAATTCATGACAATGTCCGAATCGAATAATTCAAAAAGTTATATAAAGGTATTGAATCTGCCTTGAATATGAAGAAATTAATTTCGATAAGGATTAATACCTACTAAGGTACAAATAAACAACTTTTACAGAGGCGACAATTTAATTATTATTTTTTAAATAAAAGAACAGTTATTGCGACTATATGCTAATATTACAGTTAGACATATACTGTCGCGACATTTTTATACTCTTGCAACATGTTGCTACAGATTATAATAATTTTGTTCACGTAACGTTTGTTTCTATTACCTAAAAATTATCGAGTTATACATGGAGTAATATATATATAAATGATCCGGATGGAGAGACAAGTTGAATTCCGGTTGCCTGTCTATCTGTCCATTCGTCCGTCTGTCCGTGTGTGTTTTGTATATTTTTGCACATTTGATTTGCATAAAGATCCGAGCTCTTATAAAATGGTCGTATGGTGTATAAATTATACTATCATTTATTTACATTGAAATTATAAGAAGTTTTACGGTAATACTTGTAGTAGGAAAAAAGTAAACAAAGCAGAAATCAGGCGATTAGTTGACATTTAATTGGTGTGAATGTCAAAAATTTCTTATTTAAATTAAGCTGGTGCTGTCGAAAAACATATAAAAAAAAAAACAACAAGACAACTTTTCAAAACGGTTGCTAAAATAAGTTTTTTTTTTGGAAAAAAAAACACAAAAAAAAAAACAATGTACGAGCATGCTATATGATTCAACGACATGCCCGTTCATTTTTCATACTCAGCGATAATCGAAGGTGTCAAGAGGCGACCAAGTGATACCTGAGCGTTTACACACGTATTTACAATGTTACCTCTTCCCTATGCCGTTATTTCGTTGATGCGTTCTAACACTGTGTAATCGCGTTGTAGTTACCTTTGGGTATTTTCTTCACCAGAACACCACCCAGCAATTTATTTCCTGGTGTTGGCGTAAATGGCGTGATTTTCTTCTTTTGCGTTTTTGCAAGATCATCATTGTCGGCTACAGAACGGCTGGAACAGAACTGAAATACAAAAGTTTGCAAAGCGTATTGCATGAGTAAAAGGAAAATGCGCAACATGTTTCAATATTAAAAAAGAAATAATTTTATTTAAAATTAATATACAGTGTGTATATTTTCGGCTTAACTTCTACTCTACTTCATATACTATTTAAATAATCTTCAAGGTAACGTATGCACTCTTCCATATAGCTTTTCGCTACTTTTCCGCTTTCGCTAAGTGTGGTGAGTTTTTCGAAATCAATCAAAAATGTTCTATAAGTGTTTATTTTATAAGCCACAAGTGAACGCACTTCATTCTCGACATTGGCCAATCTCTCAGCCGCACCAAAAGCCACTTCATTAAGCACATTCGGGTATACACTCTGCTCGTGTACAAGCAAATGCAGTACAACACATAAATTGTGCGAAACGCCATCAAGCAAGTGCACAAACATTTCGTCGTGCAAATTGTGGTGGCGTATAAAGGCAAATTTGTTGCGATGCAAAATTAAATTGCTGTACGTTTTGTCGTGTTTCAGAAAATCCTCAATATCGGTTAGCAAAAAACTAAAATAATCGTGTTGATTTTTAGGTATGAAAAAACCGTATTCGATGAGTAATTCAAAATTTGAATAGGTGCCATAACTTATAAACAGTTGTGAACGTGGTGAAATTGCAGAAGCGTCGCTCTCCCTCTGTAATGTCACAACGTATTCCAATTGCTTTTTTGGCCCCGTTGGTATGAGTTCGGCCTTTGTAGTTACTTCATCTGAATGATTGAGGAGGTCAAGAAATGGAGCTAATGCCATATTTGGCTCGTCATCGAGTAGCAGTTGAAAAAAGCATTTGTCTGGTTTGACTTGGCGACTGAATACAAAAACACTTCGTGTGTTTACAGCAAAATAAGCCCACTTGAATGCATCCAGCGTATAGATTTCATCAAAATACAGCTGATTGCAATAACAACATTTGTTTCTATGGAAAACACTCTTTAGGTTGGCGTAATTTTCACGAATAAGGCGATGTTGCTCAACTGTCTTCTCCAAAATTTCCTTAGGCAAACGTTGCAGCTCAGCAATCGGGCAAAAATAAGGTGTGCTAAATTGTTTAGGTATGGTGTTTATGTAAGCGCTAATATGTGAAGCTTCTTTCAGATGTTTCTCGTGTAGTATATATAACGCTAATAATGATTGAAATGATATTTTGCGATCTTTGTGGAATTTTGTAACATCAAATTGTGATTTAAAGTGGGCAGCTTCTTCCAGTGTTGATATTGTAACCAAACATTTCAGGGGTAGTTTTATAAGTTTATCGCCATCAGAGAATTTTTGTACTTTCGAACAAACACCCCGACCAGTAATTGGAAAGTCACGTGCCGTTAACCGACTTGGATTGTGCCAACCCAGCCTTCTCATCTCATATAGTAAAGGATTTAAGTGGCTTTCTGTGGCATTTTGCATTGAACGAATACGTTTATTGCGTTGCCTTGCGCGGCCTGTGCGACCCATGATCCCGTTTACAATACTTATGAATAGTTAGAACTACTTTTTTTCTGTAAATTTTGTACCAATTGTGTGTGACAGCAAACAGTGTTCGAATGTAGATTGTTACTGACTTAATAGTTTTGTTATTTTTATTTTAAATACTTTGTATGTTGTTGTTCACGAAGTTTGTTAATTCTGCAATGAGAAGTAGATAAAAGAGAAATGGTAATTAATTAGACCATTTTCATCTTCGACTAGTAACTTTAGCTACACGGAAGGCCAAAACAATACAAATTTGAACACTGTTTGCCTGACCACTCCAGGAGCACATTTTGAAAATATCAAGCATATGCTGAAGTCTAATCATTATGGTAATTTGTCTAATAAGATATGGTGCGAAATTAAATGCTATCGCTTGATATGGCCTTGAAATTTGCGATCTTACTCGGAACATGAACTTACCAAATGAACAGGTAATCTACGTTGTCCATGCGCTTTAAGTATGCCAGAAGTGGTTCTCACTATGCTGGAGAATCGTCTATTTGTTGATGTTATTTGTTGCTGCTTGCTACAAAATCTCGCCAAATGCACTAGTCCAGACATAATTTAACAGACACACACTCGAAAAGAAAATATCTTCTCCCTCCTTCGAAACTTGATAACATCCACTCGTTTTCGCAATTTTTCTGTTCAATCCTCTTATCAGCTGATTTACAAAGGATTGTTCGATTTATAACCAACTTAATAATGCTGCCATTTTACGAAACAAAAAAAAAATAAGTATAATATTAATTTAAGCGTACACCGTACGACTAGTAAAATTCATGCAGTAGCCAAACATGATAATAGAACATATATCAGACCTTCTTAAATTTTTGGCGAATAATGTCATCATAATTGTACAGGATAATATACATAACATTTAAATACACCCTATACCTAAAAAGCAAAACAGAATACCATCAAAAAATTCGGAATTGTTACAAGTATGTACAAAATTTTAAGCATGAGCCGCGAGATGCATATATGATAGTAATTCAATATCTGTAGTTTATATTTTAAATCGTTATTCCGTACGCCTCTCTTCTTCTGAAAAAGTTAGTGATATTACGTTATTTAACATTTTAGGTCACGATATGTAGGTTCAAGTTTTAGAATTGTAAACGTAGTATAATTTTTAGTCAACATAAACTACGTTTCATATGGCAACAGTACATTTTAAGTATGTTCAAAACAAATGTTTAAATAAAGGTGCACCAGGCAATAGTCAAAAATCAAGATAACAGCGTCCATTTTGATAAATCTAGAAATTGTACTTCATTTAAGTAATATTAATTAAAGTTGCAAGTTTTCCTTAATATTTTAATAGCATCAAAAATGGAATCAACAATTAAAACAAAGAAGTGTTCCGTGAAACTCAATCGTATGTCGTTTGTTGGTATTACTCCACAAGAAGTACAGGTAGGTCGTGAAGTTAATTCTCAATTTCAACATACAAAGTGTGAAAAGTGAATATAAGTACATTTAGATTTTTATCTTTGCCAAAAATTTTCACGCATTTTACATTATAAAGTGTTCGTATGTCCCTCTGATCTGGAGAAACCTGATCTCTTTATAAGGCTGATGAAAATTACTCAAATAATTATAATTTAGTGTTTGTTTATTTCTATTTAGGAACAAATTTTGGATCAGCGAATACGCCGCTGTGCGGTACGCGTTCAACGCTGCTCCGACACCACGAATTTTAGTAAAATAGTCTCAGACAGTTCGACCAATATAGATACCAAAATGCGACGTTGCTGCATTCGTTTGCCAAGGATAAATTTAGTTCGCAGTGAAATATCATCTCGGTCTGGCTCCGTAACCAGTGCCAGAATTCTTTCTGAATCAGGTTAGTAAATATGAATTACAAATATAGAAAGTAAAACCTGATAATATACTCTAATTTCAGAACTGGATGATTCGGAAATTGCTAACCATTAAAGACCTTCAGGCATACCAAATACACTCGTAATCACATATTTACATTTATTATTGTTTCAATTCACTTAATAAATTAACAATTTGGCTCATTTTTATATGATGATTTAATATGGAAATATAATAATAAAATAGGTAAACAACTTCTAAAATAATGATTTATTATACTGTGATTTTATTTTATTATTTCCACTATATGATCTATATGCGCTTGACCCTAAATATCAGCGAATTGTTTTAGAGAGTTACAACAAAAAAAAGTATTTTTTCAAGAGCGATATGTCAATAAAATAGTTTACTCACATTTCTGGAATTACATTGATCAATTACAATAATATATCATCTTTTTAAACAATGGTTGTTGTTGTAAAAAGGTGGTTATAAAGCAGAGAACGTATATCATTTGGTGAAATTCACTAATAAAATCTTGTTAGGTTTTGACAATTCACACGCTGGTCCGCAATTTAACCCTCTCTATAATATACGTTCTCTGGTTATAGCACCTGTTCATGCCATTGTTCTCAAACTCAAATTTGAGATAAGCAAATTTTAAAGAAATAAAACAAATATTTGCAATTTTAAAATTATGTTATTTTTCAATAATAACATTCAATCAAAATGTTTATTGTTATTTCAAATTTCTCATTTATAAAATATACGGCAACACTATTCTGCAATCGGTCCATCTTCTTCTTCGGTGTTTTACTCAGTTTTACTTTTTTCGAGAAGTTTGTAAAAGAAATTATCAGTGTTTTAATTCATTAAAAAATAATAAAAACTGTACAGGATACAACATGAACTGGTACAAAGGTAACATTGCAGAGGCAGTGGCAGAATCAAAGGCTAAAAATGCAATTTTTGTTGTTTATGTCGAAGGTTAGTAAAAATATACAAACCCATGAAAAAAGGAAAAATCAGCTGTGATTGAACACGTCATTTCTGCAATGATTTCTATACATTGCTCTTTCCATATTTTAATATTTTTTATTCCTTGCTCCAAAAGGTAAAGATGAATCAACACAAAAACTTTCAAACTTTATTAATGCTCAGAAAATACGAGAGAAATTGGAATCTGATAATTTTGTCGCCATAAAAATTGAAAGTGATAGCCAAGCATATATGCAGTTTGCAAAAATTTGTAAGTGCAAACTTTGGAACTTAATATATACTATATTACCACTTACCACTTTTCAACTTTTTAGATCAAGTAGTTCCTGTACCATCAATTTTCTTTATTGGGAAGACTGGCACTCCTCTCGAGATAGGCACCGGCATAATTGCTTCTATTGGTGAACTGGAAGAGAAAATTAATAAGGTACTTACATTGTCCGGTCATAGCACACCATCTACGCAGTCATCAACTACTTTTATTACGGCCGAGCAAAATGCTGCTGAATCTAAACCGACTGCCAAAAATGATTCAACGGACGCAGCTTTAGCAGACAATTCATCTCCATCTACAAGCCAGTCAACAATAGAAACAGTTTCTGCCGTCAAGCAGGATGAACAGACTGAAATTATTTGTGATGGCGATGTCTGCTACAAGAAAACAAAAGAGCAAAAGGAAGACATTGTCCCGACTGACGAGAAACCCCAAAGCTCAATTAATCAGGGTGAGAATCAAAATGAAGTTGATGGAAAAGCACAATTGGAAGAAGCTAAAAAGAAGATGGAAGAACAGAGGAGGAAGCGCATTGAAGAAGAAAAACAATTAGAGAAAGAACGGGAGGTGAGGCGCAGACGTGAAGGAAAAGAAATGCAAACCCTACAAGAATATCAACGCGAGCAAGAATTGAAAGAACTAAAGGTTTGATTAAAATTGGCTTTTGTTATTTATACATTACGAAATATATTGTAAAATTAATTTTAATTAAGGAAAATATTCGACGTGAAAAACTCGAAGAAATGGCTGCGCGCGAGAGAATACGAGCACAAATTGCAGCTGATCGTGCCGAACGAGCACAAAAGTTTTCGACGCCTCGTGACGCGTCAGGCCCTACAACAAGTGCAGAATTAGGAACTAATTGCGGTGGTGTCTCCATTGCAAACCCAGTTACCCCGGATAGCACTAGAATACAGTTTCGTTTCGCTAGTGGTAATACCGTTGCACATGTGTTTAATTGCCAAGACACACTCGGCAAGTTACGCGAGTATGTCCGTACAGACTTACTGCCTGGTACCGGTATAAAAGATTTTACGTTAGCTACAACATACCCTAAGCGGGAACTTAATATCGAACACGATGTACAAACCCTCGCCGAACTTAGTCTTTTTCCGAGTGCTGTTATCTTGATCATAGGGAAAGAAAGTACAAGTAGTCCAGCAGCCATTATAGCTCGCTCCGGTGGACTTCTGAACATATTTACTACGCTGGTGATGGCAATACTTTCTCCAGTTTTTTCTGTTTTTGGTTATTTGAAAAATATTGCTACCGGTGGAGGTCAAAAAAATAACAATGAGTCTGGTGCAAGCAAGCGAGCAAATGAGGAGGCTGGAGCACAACATGATGCGTTAGTGCAGATATAATTTAACGCTTGCACATAATAATATATATTTTTAAATTTCAGTGCAAAACGTCGTAATATGGAACGTTTTGGAGGTGGTGTTGCTACCGGATCGATTTTGGGTAACAATGCCAGCAGCTCGGAAAATACGGAAAAAGGCGAATCGAAACCATATCGTCGTTATGGTAGCTCAAATATTCATCGCTTGACAGATCATAAAGATTCAGATGATGAAAATGCCACTTGGAATGGGAATTCCACGCAGCAGCAGTAGATAGTTTAACGTAACGTAGACTAGAATATAACACATAATTTAAATATATATTATACATAGTTTCCTTTCAAATAAAAATTAATGGTAAAGAACTTATGTTGGTGGTGTTGTTACTGCATAACACATTCGCTAAATAATAATAAAAGTGTCAGAATGAAAGGACGCTTCAGCTTTTGTTATTTTTAGACCCGAATCTTGTTTTTAATGTTAGCTGTACGTTTTTTAAATTAATTCTTATACTTAATTCGAAACTTTTGAAAATATACAATTTCAATATAACATTTTGCTAATAGTCTGGCAACGCGTTCGAAGGCATTTTATCAATTATTTAGCTTTTAAATTCCTTCCAGCTGTCACGCCAAATGCAACCATGTATGCGCTGATTAGAAAAAACTGGAATTTTTGACATTTCCATCAAACAAGTTTAAGCTCCTCTACAACATGTGTTTGAGTTTTCCAAGGTATCGCAACGTGTTCGTTCGTTTCTCAATTCTCAGCTCTGGTGGATAATCAAAAAGGGTGGCTGCAATCGTAAAAAAAACGGCAAGTGAATTGGTTGATAGCGCGGCGTGTAGCAAATTTCCACAAAAATTTGTGTACTTATTTTTCTGCAAAAGCCAAACAAAAGCATTTCACTTGTAAAATCAATTAGCTTTTACAAATACGCAGAAAACGCATTGCAATAAATTTTTATTTTACGGAATGGAAACAAATGAGTCGCATACAGTGCATACAGATTACAACAACAAAAAAGTAAATTCCCAAGCAAATGAAAAAGGTGGTGTAAATGTAAAGTGAAAGAATATAACAAAAAGCAAAGTAAAAGCAGTGAAGATTTTGTGTGGCTGGTTTCTTCAATGTTTTCCGCCCCCCTTACTTTTTATTGGTGTTTGTAAAATAGTTGTCGATATTAATGTGGTATAAATTATTAAGATTAATTAACATGCTAACAAATTAACTTACCAAGTCAATCGTGCAGCAATATATGTTTAATTAAGCTTGTGAAAAAGTAAAGTAAACTACAGACGAAACGGTTGTTTATTCGCAAATAAAAAAATATAAGAAGCATTAAACGCATACAAAACAGTAAGTCGAAAAAAAAATATTATAGCGGTAGAACAAAACAGTGAATATGCGCTAGTGGAACGTGTCTATTACTGCTGTTGCTATCACGAATCATTTTTGCTTACCTGCACGCCGTCAAACAACTGCCCCTAACTTTTTTTAAACAGACATTTATTTACTTGCCGTACCTTGAAACTTGGAACGCTTGTCATTTGTCCTCATCTTGAACAGCACAATATTCGCAAATCCGAATATACTTTCATATGTATGTTAAATATATGCGTTTATGCGCTTGAATAACTGCAAAAAGTTGAAGAAATTGCTGTAAATATTTAAACAACCATCTCTATAAGGAAGTTTATAAAACACATCCGGTTAATTTGAAATCAGTGCATGAAAAGGTTAGAATGCCTGTTCTCTGTTTCGAAAAAATTGCAAGTGGAGTTTTTTAAGGTAAGCATTTTAAGGTTTTAATTTTTTTGCAGTTTAACTTTGTGGTCGTGTGTGCGCTATTATGGTTTCGTATCAAGGTTTAATTTAAAATTATTTTTGTTGAACGTGATTAAAGCAGTATTTAATAATTTAAGGCATTTGTTGCTAAAAGTGGAGTGGCAATTGGCAACACTGAAAGTAAACAAAACAAAATTCTGTGCTATGTTGTTTGCGCTCACTTTATTTCGTTGTAAGAAGGACACTTTGAATTTTGTTTATTGATATGAGTTTTTTTTTTACGCACACATAGGTATGTAGAATGTCAGAAATATTGTTATAATCTTTACATTGTTTATTGCCTAATATTAATTTCTTTTTTTTTTGTTTTTTGTTTTTTGACAGCTTTTAATCAACGCTTAAGAAATTTGGAAACGTTATCGCTCTACGTTTAATAGTTCGTAGAAATAATCTTATGATCTTAAATAAAATATAATAAAAAATAGACAGTGTGTTTTAGAAGTGTTTATTCGTGTAAATGTCAGTTTAAAAGTGTTATAAAAATTATTAAAAAAATATCAATTTTAAGAAAAGTAGTCATTGCACGTATTGCAATTGTAAATAATAAGTAATACGAAAAGAAAGTAAAATCTCACACAAATAAATATTAATAAAAATTTAATCATCTAAAAATCCATTTAACATATTTGAGCAACCAATTGCCGGTTCGTGCGTGTTTACTTTTACTGTTGTTTTGTGAAATTTCAATTCTTTTGTATGGCAAATTGTTGAATGGCGGCCACTGTTGGCCCCAAAAGGCACACCGTGAACGGAATAAGAGCCAATCTCAATCCCAATCCCAATCCCAATCATAGTCATAATCACAACAACAGCGGTCATATAAATAGTCATCAAAGCAGTTCAAACGTTAACAACTGCTTTAGTAATACCTCCAATACACAACAGTTTGGTCATAGAGCAGTAGTGCCCGTTGTTGCTCCTACGTCGCGTTCTCGTCCGCGTATTTCAATGAGCGTATCAATGTCACTCGTACAAGGAGGAGCTGCTGGCGGTGCCCCACAAGGTGCCATTTTAGCTGCTGCAGCACCATATTATCAACCGCCAGCTGTTCCACAGGATGTACAGCCGGATCGTCCCATTGGTTATGGCGCCTTCGGAGTAGTATGGTAAGTGAGAAATTAAATCAGCTGCTGCAAAGAATTTATTAATATACTATTTTTGGTTGCATTCGTTATTTTAACATATTCATGCCTAATGCGGCATTACAACAACACTTTTGTGTTAACACCAACAAACGAGCAAAGGAAAGCAAGCTACCACCTATTTTATTAGCCGCAGTAGTGTTAATATTCAAATTACAACAATAGTAAAGGACTAACCAAAGTTCGGTGTGTTATACACATAACGGCGCTTTCCCAAAGTGAAAGAATTAAGGCCGATGAGCTTATTGATCAAGATGTATCATAATGCAAATAAAGCAATGCATTCTTTTACTTTCATATTCACCAGGTTCACACATACAAGTACATATACTATTTGTGTGCGTTTATTCACATTCAAAACTCATAGTGCAGCGTGACCTGAGTGTTCAACGTCAACTGCTGAGTAGCTCATTTTGATTTGTACGAATCTCTAAAATTACATTTTATCTATGTGCACACGTAAACGCATGCATATATATATATTTATATGTATGTACATATACATATACGTAATTAGTATGTGTACCACCAGCGGCACGGCATACATTGCAGTGGCTTGTGAAGTAAAGGTTCATTGCCTTTTGCAGACGTGGCGTACTCGCTTACAAATGGGGTAAAAATCGTCCCGACTATGTTCACTGCCACTTCAAGTATTACAAAGTGTAGTGCTCATAGTACTACAATATGTCTGTCTGTCTTGTCTATATATGTATGTGCATGCATGTGTTTGTATACAGTTACATGTAGGAATGCTTTGTAAGTAGAACTGTGCTGCTACCCCTCAATTCAGCTGCCGCGTTTGTTGTTGTTTCTCTTGTAACTGCTGCTTTGACGTTTACAACGCACACACAACACGCCGCAACCGCCCTCCTCCCATTACCTTCACACAGCGAGGGTTGCTTACATAAAATATTCTTGCTAAATACTAAATACTTGGCGGCTCCTCACATCGGAAATTGTTTGTAAAAATTTTATTTTTATGAATTTTAATCAACTGCAATACGGATTTGTTTCGCCTAAAGTTGTTGCTGCTGCTGCTGCTACAAGCTGGCGAATATTTTCCCATTTAATGTTGGTGTAATTATGCTTTGCTTCTGTGTTTTGTTGTTCATCGAGTATAGAAATTATGTTGTTGTATTTTGCTGGCGTTACTCTGCTGGCTAATGAAAAAACCGTTGTAAAAATATATACAGATGTAAAAGTGTTACTATATTTAAATGTGTTGTTTATCATTTTTATACCCTAAACAGGCTGTATTAAATTCGCCACGAAGTTTGTAACATCCAGAAGGAAACGTCACCAAGACCCTACAAGATATATTCGTATATGCACTATCAAACTATCTTAACGCAATTTGCGACGGAATATTATCCAAAGTAACGGTACAATCACCGTAGAAATAGTTCAGATCGAAGCACTATAGCTTATTGCTGCCATACGTACTGACAGCCTACTGCTGTCATATTGCTCTTGTTGAAATTTAAATGTCATCTCTCTTAACTTCCAATAAAACTACTACTTTCGCAGGAAAAGCATGCTGAGATAATGAGTGTACCAAACTGCGCGTTAGGTAACCGTTACTTTGGCTCGAACACTATTATAAATAAATGTTATTAAAATGCAATTAAAGGTACTACCCTTTGGTTGGTTCTAAATAAGAGATTTGTAACAGTTTTCACGAACCACCACTGAGTTTTACCACCTTTGCGATGAAACGAAAGACCTATGAAACGTGATCTTCAATGTCATTGTGTCATTTGGAATGCTGCTTTGAGGGTGACTTTGAAGAAGTAGTATTATGGAATCATGCTGGGTCTCTTTAAATCCATGGAATGTATTCCTTTCATCGTGGCTGTTAAGTGATGAAGTCGAAGTGGTGTGCGTATTTAGGGGAGCATTTTAGCTCATTCTGTAATTCTCATACCACAGGATAATGGTTTTTACATAAAGAGAACTTGAAATTGAAGGGGGTTTGTTGTTGTTGTTGTAGTGGAATAGGACAATTGCCAAATGTATGTCGAGAATGCTGTCAACGCCTCAGGCTTTGACCTTCTAAAACGGTGGGGCCCGCTTCGGCGATGTAAAACCAAATCTTGAAACGCTCCGAAAGCGTAACAAATTTCAAAGTGAAAAGTCCTTAGTGCTTAACATTGTTGTTGTAGCGGCACATTCCCCAAATCATTTTGAGGAATGCTGCAATCCTTGGATGGATAAAAATTTGGGTCCGTGTCGGATCTATAAAAACCTGACATTCTCGGGAACGTCTTTTTATTGCTTATTTGTAGTTGTTTAAGTCTTCTGGTTCTCGGGCATCTCACGATGGTACATAAAATACTGATTGCTCAGCTTTCTTCTTAGAAAGGAAAGCTGCTGAGGATAACCATCAATTTTGGATTAGTCGGTAACTAGATAGAATTATTTCGGGCTAATGATAACCCGACCTCAACACTTATCGTAAAAAAAACTAAAAACACACTAAACTTTTATGTATGTACCATATAGGCAAGGGTACTGCTGCCTATACCCATAATTCTCTTATCTCTTAAACTGTTTGCATGAAAAAAATTATCATTTAATCTTATAACTAATCTCAAAGTCCGCATCACCATGCTGTTATTTTTTTTTATGTAAAATAAAATAAATTCCCACAAAAACACTTCAGCTTCAAGATGTCTGCAGCAAATAATATATTCTGTACAAGATTGACTTGTATGATTCATAAAATTCACAACCACAAGCACACGCACATACATTGCACGCACAAAAATACAAGTCATGCATATTTGTTCGTGTTTTTGTTAACTTGATTTTAACTTCCACACTTTTTTACGGTTAATTATGGGTCCACTTGTAAGCGTTCGATGCAAACGATAGCATTTAAGTTGTACAATAAATCCTTAAAGCATTTAAAAAACATTAATGGGCAGCTACCATAAAATTACACCGCAGCAACCCCAAGCTAAACTAACCTAACCTAAAAAAAAAAACACAATACGCGTACTTAAGAACCAGAAGTGGAAGTTGAAGTGAAAATCAAGAAACTCAAGTGTCAGCTCGACAGCGTTTAGAGCAGAATATGCAGATAGGAAAAAATAATAAAATAATTAAATGAAAAAAAAGTTATAAAATTTTCTACCAAGTAGTATGTTTGCATGTGTGCGTGTTGCTGTTGCGCGCTGCGACTCCTTTTTAAAGCCCAAATTCAAGAATGTTCATACCATACATACATACATACTCATTGCCATTCAAGTGTAAAGCGGCATTTCCGGATGCAATCAGACGAAAACTGCTCGCAGTACTCAAATACCGTTCGCTAGCTGACTGCCTGATAGGCTGGTTGTGCGACTAGGAGGTTGACTGGCTACATATATACATACATGCATACATACATTTGCTCAGTCCCGCCGTTCACGTAAAATAAAACGCGGTAAAAAAAGCATAAGCAGCGGTAGTAGAAGCAAAAGGGCAAAGACCAAAGAAATCAGAAAAAAATAGAAAATTTAGTAAAAATAAAAAACCGACTATAAGCCGCGCAGTAGCGCCGTATTAAAGAACTCCAAAGCCAAAGAAACGCTTTTCAGCGTTGTTCAATTTAAGTTCTGCAGCTTCTTGAATACTGCAGTGGTTGGCTCAGTATGCGATGTCGCAGAGCACGCCACAAGTAAAACCCTAAAGGCCGTCTTCGAAACGAAGTAAAAAAACACACTCACACACATCCACATTCAACACATTTCAGGCGGCCCAAATCGACAAATGCGGTTCCCTAACCGCTGCAACAGCGCCGTCGAATATAGACATTCAAACGCACACAGCGTGCTTGTTAAAGTAAGCAATAAAGAAGCAGAGGAAAGAGAGGCAACCAACTCGCTACGACAGTTCAATAAATGCAGCGGACACAGCAGGGGAAGTCAGAATGTCCCGCAGCAAAGTCAATGCTGATCACAAAAGGTATTGAAACAAGAAAAAATGTTAACTTCGGTTGCAGCGAAGCTATTGTACCCTTCACAAATACAAAATATTTCTCACAAGAACTTTATTTTGATTGCCCAGTTTGTTTTTTGCACTTCATTCCGATCGTTCAGTTTGTATGACAGCTAAATGCTATATTGCTCCGATATCGGCGGTTCCGACAAATGAGCAGCTCCTTGGAGAGAAAAGAGCGTATGCAATATTTCAGATCGATATCTCAAAAACTGAGGGACTAGTTCGCGTATATTCAGACAGACAGACGGACATTTTAGCTATGTCGCGACTCAGCTTATCATGCGGATCATTTATGTATATATTTTATAAGGTCTTCTAGCTGTTCCAAACATTGTGGCAAACTTAATTTACTCTGTTCAGGGTATAAAAAGTCGCAACGAACAATATGCCCAACAAAAAACTGAAGCCAACGAAAGCAACAGGGAAAAACACTCAAGCAACTGCTCGTGTATGCACCACAGCCTTTTGAGGCGATAAACTATTACCTTTTTTTTCTTTACATAGTACCTCGAACGGGGGGATAAGGCAACTGAAGAAATTATTAATAAATCCTGTGCGCGCAAGCGTTCACACGTTGCCACTGGAGGATATTGTAGACTGCCGGACGTAAACTAGAGCTGACAGGACGAAAAGTAGCTATAGCATACTGTTAGGCTTAGACTGAGGTTGACTGGAGAGTATTGTAGACTGTGGGACGTAGACTCAGACCGAGGCTGAATGTTCGAAAGCGTCTGAGCTGTCACGAATAACGGGAAATTATATCGTGATTTCGAAGAATTTTGATATCTTTAATCTATCTATCTATGCAGAGCTCGAGTTCCTTTGAGAATCGTTTGTGTTTTGTAATACCGGACGGGATTTTATTGTGGGTTAAACTTATATGTGAGCATTCCTAAAGTATCTATCTGTTCTTCAAGACCCTTTGATTAAGTCTATGTAAATGTTGATTAAGAACTGGCTCGACCGAGAGCCCTTCAGGT